CCATCCTAAACACTGTTCAAACCAGAAGCAGCGTTCTGTTTAAATTCCAAAGGTAATCACATCACCCCTGTCCCTAGCACTCAGACACAGGGACTTCCCAACGACCTTACAATACAGTGCAAAGTTTATGGTGACCTGCGGTGCCCTGCTCTCCTACCCAGCCTGGCTCACCCACTGTGCTTTGTGTTCTCTAGTTTAGCTTTCCCTGTCTTTTCTCAGCTGCTGGAACACACCAGGATTTGTACTTCCTAAAGGACCCTGATGTGGAATGTTCTCAAGTCCCCTCCAAAACCCTACTGTACAGTCAAAACCCTTGGCTAGCTACCTATAATCCATCTTTTAGGGTCAAATATTTTGTCTCATTTCAGATATTTTCCTTGACCTCTTCAAGTTATCCTGCTCAATAGTCTCGTATCACCCTTGTCACTATTAATTTAGAACCTCTCTTTCCTGCAGAATAAACCTTCACAGAGGCAAGCACTGTGTGTATTTCAGCTACACTGTTTCCCTCTATTCAGGGCCCAGTTCACTGACAGCACCCCAATGAAATTGTGCCCAAAAACCAACAGTCCTCAAGAATACTTCAGTATGCTAAATGTACGAAAGCACAGATCTACACACACTAACACACAAATTCAATTACAAAAGCCAACTGTAAAATGACTTAAAAATGCCTGCTCATCATACAGCATAAATCACAACAGATTTCATGTGTCTTCAGGAAATACTGCTACTTCTTTCTAAAAACGCAAGGAAAGAATGAACTCCCTTTAAAAAACACTCATCCTAAGATCTCAAATCTGACCTTTAATTTTCCTCGAGTCAACTTTGGTTCATACCTCAGCAAAAGTGAGCTGCAACCCATTACTAAAAAGAGATTCCACTTATACCCATATCTTTCACCATGCATTAAGCTAAAATTGGAATAGATCAATGATATTAATATTAAAATAGAAACATTAAATCTGTTAGAAGATACAGTAGGTAAAACTCTTGAAGACACTGCTGTAGGCAAAGACTTTATGAACAAAACCCCATTGCACAGGAATTATCACAAAGAATCAACAACTGGAATCTCACTCTACTCAAAAGCTTTTGCACAGCAAGAAAATCCACCAACAGAGTAAGAGACAACCCACAATGTGGGAGAAAATGTTTGCCAACTGTACCTTAGATAAAGGATTACTATCAAGAATACAGAAAGAGAGATTAGAGAAGATGGCAGCTTGCTAGGTCACTGGTTGGAGAGCCTCTCTGGAAAAACAGCTCAGATGCTGGAATATGACAACATGGAGAGGACTGGATGAGCAGAGAGGGACTCTCACAACCCCAGCAGGAAATTGAAGGAAAAAGAAAAATAGGAAGAGGAAGAAAAAATGGAGAAGGGCTGCAGCCTGACGTACTCACTGAGACCAGTCCTGCACTGTGCTGGGAGTGCCATGGAGTCGGGCGACTCAAGGTCGTGCTGAAGCCACAGTCGCCAATAAGGGGAATTGGTGAGTCCTGGGCCCTTGGCAGGAGGAGGTGGTGCAGCATGGAGTGGAGCTAAGGTGGAGAACTACATTGATTCCCGGTGAGTGCTGGAGATTGGGTCCCGCAGCGCTGGCTGGAGGACATCTTGGAGTGGGGCAGAGCCTGGGTGGTGGTGGCATCAGTCAGCTGCCCCTGGCCCAGAGAGGAATGGTGGGATCTGCTTGGGCTGAGCCACGCCCCTGGTTGAGACCCAACAGCCAAGGACAAAACTGTCCAGGCCCTGTGACACCCATAAAGCACAGGCTAAGTTGCTGAAGGCACTTGCTGGTTGACTGGCTCAGAGGTGAGGGGCTAGCCTGCATCATCCCTGTGTGCAACTCAGATAACATCAAATTGGAGAGGGGAGCAAAACCCCAGTCAGCACACTTCAGAAAAACCATAAGCAATATGGAGAGGGCCAGGGACCTCCATGACACACCTCTCTGAAAGAAACCAGAGGGGGCTGGGGATTTAGCTCAGCGGCATAAGCGCCTGCCTTGCAAGCAGGCAGTTGTGAGTTCAATCCCCGGTACCGATAAAAGGAAAAAGACAAAAAGAAAGAAAAGAAAAGAAAAGGAAAGGAAAGAAAGAAAGAAAGAAAGAAAGAAAGAAAGAAAGAAAGAAACCAGAAACATGACAAGAGATAGAAAAAAAAAAAAAAACACCATCTGCTGACCCTGAGAAAATAAGCCCAGGAGAGGTAAATACAGAAGAGAACCAGTGCAGCAATCATGCAATATTAGCCACAACATCAGCGGACATAAAGAAATACCTTCATGACCTCATAGATGAACTTAAAACTGAAATTCTAATCCAAGTGAGGCAAGATATAAAAAGATTAATTAAAGAAATGCTAAACCCCTCCCATGAAAACACAGATGCAAGAACGGAGGAACCGAGAAAAGGAAGAGAAACCTTTAATGAAGAATATAAACAAAAGAGTTCCAGAGGCAGAGCAGCCTGCGGGGAGTATCCCCCACACCATCCCCCAAACCAAGGGAGTTTGGGATCCTCACTGGGGCCTGGCCAAGAAACTGCGGCTTCCTACTGTGCTGGACCAACTCAGCAGGTGTTGAACCCGTCTGCAATAACTGGCCTGCTCCCTGCCATGCTTGACGGACTCTGGGGTCCCTGGCCTGCCAGCACCCTCAGTTCCAGAGGCTGAGCAGCCTGCAGTGAGTGTCCCTGCACCATCCCCCGAACCAGGGAGTTTGGGATCATTGCTCCCACCAGGCAAGGAACTTCACAGCTTCTTGCTACACTCAACCTGCACCATAGGGCTTGGACCTGCCTGCCCCACCCCAGTGACCCTCTCTCAATCCAGAGAACTGAGTGGCCAGAGTTCCAGAAGCTGAGGGCATAGAAGAGGATTTCCAACAGGCCCTGGGGAAGCTTTGTTATAAAACTTTCATTTTGTCAAAATGAAACACCAAAATGAAACACCAAAACACAATCTCAAACCTCCAGCCCATCCCAAGAAACCCTAGGAGCTATGTACACAGAAGAAAATGTATGCCATACACCTGAAAAACCTGATATAATAGCAACTGAAATAAAGAAGCAACTCCAGGAAGCTTTAAAGGAATTCAAACTAGAAATAATCTCCCAAGTAAAAGAATAAATGATAAAAAAAAAGTGAAAGAAATGCTGAACATATCTAAAGAAGACACAGTTAAAAAATTGGAGGAACTAAACAAAAAGGTAGAATCCCTAGATGAACAATGTAAGAAACAAACAGAATACATAAAGCAGAATCAAAGAGACATAGAGTAAATCAAAAATTCCATTGAACGTTGTAAAAACCGCCTCAACGAAAAAGAAGATAGAATTTCAGACCTCAAAGACAAAACTGCACCTAGTGAACTGGAAAAGAAAGATTTTTTTAAAATAACAATGAATCAGGAAATAACAGTTCAACAGCTGCAATATGATGCAACAAAAAACAATGTACAATTGATAGGGATAAATGAAAAAGAAGGGAACAACATAAAGGATGTCAAGAGGATATTTAGAGAAGTAATAGCTGAAAGTTTCCCAAACATGAGAATGGAAACTGACATCAATTCAGTGAAGCATATAGAACTCCAAATAGCCATAACCAAAATAAAACTACACCCAAACATATAATAATCACCACCCCAGAAATTGAATATAAGAATAGAATATTAGGGGCTGGGGATTTAGCTCAGCAGCATAAGCACCTGCCTTGCAAGCAGGCAGTCGTGAGTTCGGTCCCCGGTACCGATAAAAAAACGAAAAAGACAAAAAAAAAAAAAAAAGAATAGAATATTAAAAGCTGTCAGAGAGAAAAGACAGATCACCTATAAAGGAAAAACTATCAGAATCACAGCAGACTTCTCAGCACAAACAATAAAATTAAGAAGAGAATAGAGTGAAGTATTTCAGATCTTAAAGGAAAATGATTTCCAACCTAGACTGGTGTGCCCTGAAAATCTGTCCTTCAAAATCGATAGAGAAATAAGATATTCCATGACAAAGAACAGCTGAAGAATTTCATGATCACCAAGCCAACCCTGAAAAGAATACTAAAAGACAGTTTAGATACACTTAGGAAAAAACTACCAAGCAAAGCAGAAAATTAAACAGAATGGAAAGATAAAGATGTAACAGCAGCAAGATAACATGTCAACAATAAACCAACATATAACAGTTATAACCATTAATGTAAATGGTCTCAATGCACCAATTAGAAGAAACAGACTGGCAGAATGGATCAAGAAACAACATCCAACCATGTGTTGTCTACAAGAAACCCTTCTAACCCAAAAGGAAACTCACAGACTGAAAGTTAAAGGATGGAAAAAAATACTACATGCAATAGGAACCCAAAAAAAGGCAGCGGTAGCTATTCTGATTGCAGACAATGTAAACTTTAAGCCAATAATGATCAGAAGAGATAAAGAAGGTCATTACGTACTGGTTAGGGGAAAACTTCAAGAGGAAGAGATAACAGTCTTAAATATATATGCTCCCAGAGTATGCAGTTATATAAAGCAAGTATTAACAGAAATGAAAAACCAAATTAGCAGCAACACAATTATAACAGGAGATCTTAACACACCATTGACACCAAGGAACAGATCAACCAGATAGAAAATCAGCAAAGAAATAACAGAACTGAACCACATCTGTGAACAAATGGACTTGATAGACATATACAGAGTATTCCATGCAACAACATCAGAATACACATTCTTCTCCACAGTACATGGGACATTCTCTAAAACAGACCACATACTAGCCCACAGAACATACTTAAATAAGTGCAAAAGAGTTGAAATTATCCCATGCATGTTATCAGATCATAGCACCATCAAATTAGAAATTAATGATAAAAGATACTGCAAAAATCCACAAACACATGGAAACTGAACAACACACTCTGGAGTAATCAGTGAGTCACAGGAGAAATTAAAGAAGAAATTAAGCAATACCTACAAGCAAATGAAAATACAAATACAACTTACCAGAATCTGTGGGATGCAATGAAAGCTGTCCTCAGAGGAAAATTTATTGCACTGAGTTCCCACATCAGGAAAACAGAATGAATACAAATAAATAAATAATGTTACACCTCAAACAACTAGAAAAAGAAGAGAAAGTCAAGCCCAAAGCCAAAAGAAAAGAGGAAATTATGCAAATCAGAGCAGAAATTAGTGCAATAGAGACTAAGAAAACAGTCCAAAGAATCAATGAATCAAAGAGTATAACCCAATTTCTATTAATGAAATTGAAAATGTAATTAAATTCTTACCTACAAAGAAGAGCCCAGGCCCAGATAGATTCAATGCAGAATTCTACAAGAAGTACAAAGAAGACTTAATGCCGACACTCCTCAAACTCTTCAATAAAGTTGAAAAGGAAGCAATCCTTCCTAAGTCATTCCTGGAAGCAAATATTACTCTTACTACCAAAACCTGAGAAAGACCCAACTAAAAAAGAGAACTACAGGCCAGTCTCTGTAATGAACACAGATGTAAAAATCCTCAACAAAATATTGGCAAATAGAATACAGCAAATCAGCAAGAAGATTATACACTATGACCAAGTGGGATTCATCCCAGGCATGCAGGGATGGTTCAACATACATAAATCAATAAATGCAATCTGCCATATGAATAAAGTCAAAAGTAAGAATCACATGATCATCTCTATAGATGCAGAAAAGGCTTTTGATAAGTTCCAACATTCATTTATGATAAGAACCTTACAGAAAATTGGAATAGATGGTCTTTACCTCAATATAATAAAGGCCATCTATGACAAACCAATAGCCAGTAACATACTAAATGGCAAAAAACTGAAGGCCTTTACCTTAAAATCAGGCACAAGACAAGGATGTCCCTTATCACCACTCCTATTTAATATAGTACTGGAAATACTAGCCAGAGCAATTAGACAAGAGAGAGAAATAAAAGGGGTAAAGATAGGAAAAGAAGAAGTTAAATTATCATTATTTGCAGATGACATGATACGCTACATAAAAGACTCCCAAAACTCCATTGAAAGACTCTTAGATATAATAAATAAATTCAGCAATGTAGCTGGATACAAAATCAATACACAAAAATCAATAGCATTCCTATACACTAAGCCAGGGACAGAAATAAGACAAGCCACACCTTTCATACTAGGAACTAAAAAAATGAAATATTTCGGAATTATTCTCACAAAAGAAGTGAAAGATCTGTATATATATAAAATATACATATTATATACTGTATATATATATAATATACATATATATAATATATATTATAATACACTGAAGAAAGAAATGGAAGAAAATCTCAGAAAATGGAAAGACATCCCTTGCTCACGGATAGGAAGAATAAATATTGTGAAAATGGCCATTCTCCCAAAACTGTTATACAGATTTGATGCAATCCCAATAAAAATACCATCAACATACCTCATAGATCTAGAGAAACCACTACTAAAAGTCATCTGGAGCCAGAAGAGACCTAGAATAGCAAAGACTGTTCTGAGCAGCAAAGGCAAGGCAGGAGGCATCACAATCCCTGACTTGAAGTTATACTACAAAGCAATTGTGGTAAAATCAACATGGTACTGGAACCAAAACAGAGCTGAAGATCAATGGAATAGATTAGAAGATACAACCACAACTATAAACACACTCAACCACTTTATCTTTGATAAAGGGGTCAAACATATTCACTGGAAGGAGGACAGTCTTTTTTGTAAATGGTGCTGGAAAAACTGGCTCTCCATATGCCAAAAACTAAAATTAGACTCATGCCTATCACCACGTACTAAAGTAAAATCTAAATGGATCAAAGCTCTAAATATTAAAACCGAAACACTAAATCTATTAAAAGACAAGTTAGGTAAAAACCTTGAAGACATAGGGGTAGGTAGAGAATTCATGAACAGGAATCAAATGGCATGGGAAATATTTCCCAGAATCAACAACTGGGTTCACCTCTTATTAAAAGGTTTTGCACGTCAAAAGAAATCTCTGGGGGCTGGGGATTTAGCTCAGTGGCATAAGCACCTGCCTTGCAAGCAGGCGGTCGTGAGTTCGATCCCTGGTACCGATAAAAAAGAAAAAGACAAAAAAAAAATCTCTAACATAGTGAAAAGAAAACCCACAAATTGGGAAAAAATCTTAGTGAACTGTCCCTCAGACAAAGGACTTCTGTCTAAAACATATAAAGAATTTTTTAAAAGTCACACCCCCAAAATTCAAAGATCCAATCCAAAAAGGGGCATCTGAGATGAATACACAATTCTCAGATGAAGAAAGAAAATGGCAAATAAATGCATGAAAAAATGCTTATTATCATTAATCATTATAGAAATGCAAATTAAAACCACACTGAGATTCCATCTCACTCCTGAAAGAATGGCCAGGATCAAGAAAACCACCAACGACAAATGCTGGAGACTCTGTGGGGAAAAAGAACTCTCCTGCACTGTTGGTGGGAATGTAGACTGGTGCAACCATTGTGGAAGTCAGTTTGGAGATTTCTCAGAAAGCTGAGATTGGAGGTCCCATTTGTTCCAGTTATTCCACTTCTAGGAATATTCCCAGAAGAACTGAAAACATCATATCACAGTGATGTTTATAGCAGCACAATTTGTAATAGCCAGACCTTGGAAACAACCTAAGTGTCCTTCAAGTGAGGAATGGATAAAAATGTTGTGGTATTTTTATACAATGGAGTACTACTCAGATATAAAGAATGATCACATTGAGATATTTATAGATAAGTGGACACAGCTTGAGACCATATTCATAAGTGAAATAAATCAAACTCACATATATAAACACCAAATAGTTTCCCTAGTGTAAGAAATGGTAAGAATACATAAAAGTATGTGGTAATCATGATTCCCCATTATATTGTGTTAAAGATTTATAATGTTTTCATTCATTAATTGGAATGGTTTTATTCTGGGTTATTTGATTTTATTGTCTGTGATGATATGAACAGTTATTTTGGAAAAAAAGACATTATAATAGCCAGTGCTGATTTAATATCAGCTTGTTTTGAATCCCCATCAAGATTTTGTTCTTCTGTCTCCATCGGTTTTATCATATTGTATCTTATTGGATTTTATTATATGTGATAGCATAAACAAAAATTTTTATAGTCAAGGAGATAATATAGAAACCATTGTTCATTTTCTGTTAGTTGGTTCTAAATACCCTGTAATACTTTTACCCTCTTGAATGGCTTTACACTGCCTTGTTATGTTTGATAGCATACAAAGGCATACTCAAATATTTCAAGGAAACAGACACTATGGTAACTACTGTTATCCTGTGGTGAAACACTATGTTGCTTAAATTGTTCTGTTCCTACCTTTGTAGTTTTGTCCTCTTTCATCTTAATCTCCCCCCTTTATATATATATATTTTTTTAAATAAAAAAAAGAATATAAACAAAACCTAGAATACATGAAACAGATCCAAAGAGATTACCAGGAAACTAAAAATTCCATTGAAACCTGGCAAAATGCCTTGACAGAAACTAAAGTTAGCCTTTTGAAATTTGAAGAGAGATTTATAATGTGTGATCGTGAAAGGAAAGATCTCTTAAAAATAACAAAGAACCAGGAAGAAACAATTCAAAGGCTAGAAAACAACAAAAGAATCAATAACTTAAGAATAAAAAATGTGAGCAAAGAAGCAGGAGTAACCACAAATGAATTACAAAGACTATTCACAGAAATAATTAAGGAAAACTTCCCAAGCATAGGAAAAAGAAATGATATCCAGATAAATGAGGCACACAGAACTCCAGCCACCTACAACCAAAACAGATCTACACCCAGACATATAATAATCAAGATCCCAGAAATCCATCACAAGAACAGAATATTAAAAGCAGCCAGAGAAAAGAAACAGATCATCTACAAAGTAAAAATCATCAAAATAAGGACAGACTTATCAACACAAACTCTCAAATCGAGAAGAGCCTGGGGAGAAATAGTCCAAGCCCTGAAAGAAAATAACCTCCAACCCAGACTGATGTAACCAGAAAAATTTGCTCTCAAAATTAATGGAGAAAGAAGATATTTCCACGACAAGGAGGAACTGTGGGAGTTCGTGGTCACCAATTCAACCCTACAAAAAATACTGAAGGACATTCCAGAGAAAGAGAGAAAAAAAAATACCAGGATTCAAACAACAGTGGCAGAGAGGCCTCAATGAACAGGGCAGACAGTGGAATGAAGGAGTAAAGTGGAAAAAATAATAGCAGAAAAATAGAATAGCAGAGATGAGGCAGAGAAGGTGGGCTATAACCTTTAATATAGATAGCCTTGATACAGTAACAAAGAGAAATACAGGCAGAGTAGACTAGGAGGCAGGACCCATCAAGATGCTCTGAATAGAGGGTTAATAGACTGAAAGTCAAAGATGAGAAAACAATGCTATATGTAACAGGAAACCATAGAGAAATAGGGACAACTCGTCCTGCTGCCACAGATGGACTGGAAAGCTATGACACTTTTGTGCAGTGTAGAACTACACAGCTGGAAGGAAGGAAAATCTTGTGGCTTTAGTAAGTACAGGAGTACAGCTCAAGATCAAGCTCAGGGGTAAAAAGGTTCAGCAACACTCAGATAGATAATAGGTTGACTCCCTAATCTAAAAACTAAAGGAGCTAGTGGAACCCAAAATATAGAAAGCATCCTTAGAAGAGGAAAAGTGAGAAAATGCCTAAAGAAGGAAGGCAGAGGACATTGTTAATGGGACTTAAAAGTCACAATAGTCTTATTGCGCTTGTTAGTTTGCTTATATTTTGATCCAGTCTGTCCACTCAGATTTGAGGGCACAGACAGCTATCCCAAAAATAGCAGGTTATACCACAGTAACTATCCTTAATTTCCCATTAAACTGAAATCCTGTTTTACTCACATTGTCTTACTATGACTGATTTTATTTGAAGCTGGTTTGTTAGACCGCTGTTTTACCTTGACTGTTTTTATTCGAATTTGATATGCTTGATAGTATCAAGTCTAAGAGTAGGGGCAACTACTCTGAAGATGACAAGATGTAATAAGATGCCCATTCTGGTTTGATTATTAACTGCTTTCGAAGTCCTACAATGTCTCCAAAGTTGTGTTTTTATTAAAATAGCTATGTAATGGTATGTTCAACTATATTATGTCTGATGATGTGGACAATTCTATTGAAAGTAACAAGAAAAAGCATAGTAACTACTGTAGATCACCTAATATTGTGGTCTCATATGTCTTTTTCATTTCATGGTTTTCTAGGAATTCATCCTTGTACAGTGGTCTTATATGTCTTTTTCATTTCATGTGTTTATAGGAAAATGATTTATTTTGTCTTGCTTTGTTTTGTTCCTCCCTATAATATAGAAAGGATAAAAATACATGTTAAGACTCATACATATGTAGAACCAATAAACAGTTTATGAGAACTGATCTTATGACACATGATGAAATGCACAAATACTTTGAAGAAAAAGAGACACTACAGTACCCAGTGCTGATCCAGAAGTATCATAATGTGAAACCCAGCAATACTATTTTTCTTTGCTCAGTGTGATTTTTTTGTTGAACAGAACTGGTTGCAGTCTCACTGTTTGAAACCCCACTTTATATGCTCCACTTTTGTATTTTTGAATAACTATTTGTAAGAGGACAATATGTAAACATCAACTAGTGATTTCTTACTGTTTATTCTTTCTTTGAAAGTATGTATTATTTCTACCCATTTCTGTTTTGTTTAGTCTTTCTTTAAATAAAATGTTAAAAAAAAAAAAAAGAGCAAAGAGAGGGAAAAGTGGAAACTACTGTCAATTTTTTATTGTCCTATCTTGAACTCTTGCATTCTTTACATAATTTTATTAGGTTTGGCATTGTTCTGTCTTTTGTTAGATTTATGCTTTCAGATGGTAAGGGCAGCTATTTTGAATATAATGGGAAATATTAAGGTAATCATGGTTTCCTGTTACATTGTTTTGAATTCTTATAACGGTTTCATTCATTGGTCTGATTTTATTTTGTTTTGATTTTATTTGTGAGATGGTATGAATGCTGTTTTAAAGAAAACAAGACATTATGGTAGCTATTGTTGATTTACTATCATCTTGTTTTGAAGTCCTACCATGCTTTTGTTCTTCTGTTTTGACTGGTGCTATCCTGTTGTGTTTTGATTTTATTATGTGTGATGTTATAGACAAATTTTTTGAGGAACATGAGTATTATAGCAGCCATTGTTCATTTCCTGTTATTTGGTTTTGAAGCCCTATAATGCTTTCATTCTTTTGAATTTTTTTTACTGTATTGTTATGTTTGATATTATTGTGTGTGAAGGTATGCTCAACTATTTCAAAGAAAAGAGACATTGTTAGCTACTGTTGATGTCCAGTTTTTTTGTTGTGAAAGGCTGTGTTGTTTGCATTTTCCTGTTCTGATTTGCCTTGTTTCATTCTGTTTTCTTTTGTTCTTTAAAATTAAAAAAAAATCTAAAAAGAATACAGAATGAACAGAAAAAAATCAGTCCTCCCAGATTTAAAGATGCAATCCAAAAGTGGGCATCTGAGATGAATACACAGTTCTCAGATGAAGAAATATGTCGATAAAAAGGAAAAAGACAAAAAAAAAGAAAAAAGAAAAAAAAGGGGGCTGGGGATTTAGCTCAGCGGCATAAGCACCTGCCTTGCAAGTAGGCAGTCGTGAGTTCGATCCCTGGTACCACAAAAAGGAAAAAGAGAAAAAAAAAAAAAAAAAAAACTAGTTAATTAATCTACTGATTTCTCTGAGTTCACTAAAGAGAAAGACTTGTGCTGATATTGTTTGGACAACTGAATGCAAATGTTTTGTGCTCTGGGTGTATGATTTGGGGATGACAATGTGCAATATATGTACCACTGTTGCCACCCGATGACATATCTTGAAATTTTTAGGGTTCTTTTCCTTTTTTTTTTTTTTTTTTTTTTTTTCTCCTTGAAATAAAACTGATTTGAAAAAAAAAAAAAAGTCATCCCATTTACGACCCACTCAGTTTCCACTCCTGGCACTATGTTACCCTTTTCCTGGAGCTCCTTATGTTTTGATGATTTGTGCTTCACAAGTCTGGAGTAAGGTATGGAGCCACCTTGAGTAGAACTACGCAGTATCATTTTTCCTTGATAATAACATTTGTGACCTGGCAACTGGGTTTCTTGATAATCTCGTACTGTAAAAAAAAAAAAAAAAAAAAAAAAAAAGCCTGAAGCAAAGGAGTTGATGCACATAATCAAAGGAAAGGCTACACATTTAAAAGTTCGCTTAAATAAAAACAAAGAAAGGGAAGGGAAAAGCGAACAAAAGTGAAGCAAAGCAAACAGGTCTTAAATTTAAGGATCGCAAACAGTCACAAACACGCAAAAAATTATCTGGATGGGCATAGATATACCGGATCGTCTAATTTGTCCTTTCCATTTTTAAAATAAAATTTAAAAACCACTCAAACCAATCTGCACGTGCAAACCCTACTCTAACTCTCAAGCTGCACTATTAAACACAGTATGAAACGTAAAGCTCGTTCCAGCACGCAGTCACCTTGCCTGAGGGGCAGAGGCGGGGCCCCGAGGCGCGCGGTGGGGACCCGGGCTCCGCGGCGGCTCAGCAGCAAACGCGGGCCGCACCTGGGACCAGGCCGGTGGAAGGAAGCAGCGCCCGGCCAGATATGAGGCGTCCTCAGACAGGCGCTCCCCCGCCTCCTCGAAAAGAACAACTCCCACAGCCCGGCGCGGAGCAGCCCTTCACGGCCGCGGCCTCCCGCGCACTTCCGCTTCCTGTCTCCGTGTCGCCGAAAGCGGAAGTGGCCGGAACTGGGCTCGCGGGTCTAGAGAGGTCATTCTGCAGGCGAGGGACAACTGACACCCTTTGTCATCCAGCTGTGGAGAAGAAATCCTGGTTTCCCTCTACAGGGATCAAAACTAGGGAGAGACCCATAACGGCCTGCAGGATGAAACTGCAGCAGGGCTGCGTCCTAGGGGCGGGATTTAGGTGTGGTGGGCGGGGTTGGTGCCCTGCAGGGTGGAGACCGAGCTACACTGGGAGCGGGACTCGCTGGCGAGTGAGGGATGATGGGTATTCAACTTCTCCCGACCCCTGCCTTTGAGTTTTGTTCCATTAGCTGAATGTAGTTCCCTACAAAGGGAATTACCCTTTGTTCATGCCCATGCCCATGCCCGTTGCTTTCTAATCTTTCTAATTTATATTTAAAATAGGAGTATAGAAGACCTGTATTGTTATTGTTTTGAATCTGCTGTTATTGTTTATGCTTGTTTTTCTTTTCTGACTTTTCTCTTTTTTAAATAAATAAGTAAAATAGGAGTATAGATTTTATGCTACAGCTTTTCTTGTTAAAAAGTGGTGCAAATGATCCTCAGGTTCTTAAGCGTGATGATTGGGTGTTCATGCTCTATGCATGACATGTGCCTCCTTTCTACCTTGTTACGACCTTGGCACATTACCCGTCTGACATGAAAAAAAAAGAAAAAAAAAAGTGGTGCAAATCTATTCAAGATAATGGAGAAGTCTCACGTTTTGTTTTGTTTTGTTTTGTTTTTTGGGACAGGCTCCTGCCAAGTCTCGCAGGCTGGCCTTAACTGGCAGCAGTCGTCCTCATGGTGGGATAGCAGGCTTGCACCACTACGCCTGGCCCTGATCTCACGCTTTTTAAAGTGTGTATTATGTAAATGTATGTGTAACAAAATGTGTTTGTTACGTAAATGCATAGGAATGGGCAATTCTTATTCCATCCCTAAAGTTTCCCCCTAGAAATAAATAATCGCTGTCCCCAGGTCGCTGATAATCCATTATACGTCAAGCACATGGAGGACACTGAGAATACACTGTAGGTAAAGATAAAGGGTATATCGTGTTATTGTCCCAGCAATAGACAAATCAAAGAAAGCACAAAACTCAAAAGCAGACTCAGGCATAAGTGGACATCCAGTGTGTGTTAGAGGGTACTGCAGCAGGGCAAGGAACCTGCTGGATTAATTGACTGAAAGATTGTTAGATCCCCCACTTCACATCGTTCATAAAACCCAATCCCTGATAGGTTATAAATCCAAACATTAACAAAGAGCTTTAGAAGATTACCAAAAAAAAAATTTTTTGCGAAATCCATTTTATTTAGAAGAAAATATTTCTAACGATATTTTTATTTATTGGTGGTGGTGGTACTGGGGATCAAACTTATGACCTCATGCTTGACAGGCAAGTATTTGTGTCACTGAGCTAATCCCCAGCCCTCTAATGATATTTTCAACAGATTTTGTTTCGTATATTTTAAAGGCAGGATATGGGGCTGGGGATTTAGCTGAGTGGCATAAGCATTCACCTGGCAGGTGCAAGGTCATGAGCCTGATCCCCGATACCAAAAATACATAAATAAAGGATATGACCCAAGGAGTACAGTGATTAAGAGTCCTGAGTTTTGGTTCTTACTGGCCAATAAACAACGACCTAGCTTCTCCATGCCCCAGCTTCCTAAGCTGAAGACTGAGTGAAGTAATAACAGGAGAACGGGACCGAACTGGTCTTGCACTAAGGACTGAGTAATACAGCGCCTGCCTGAAAGCATTCACTGTGTCTGACAGGTAGTAAGTGCTACTAAAACATAGAATATCATCATTTTTTTGAGGGAGTAACCTTGTCAATAGTTGTTTTAAAAAAAAAAAATTCCCCTTTTCCCTGGTTAAAACTAGTCTTGAAATTTGGGTTTCTGGGGGCTGGGGATTTAGCTCAGCTGCATAAGCGTCTGCCTTGCAAGCAGGCAGTCGTGAGTTTGATCCCCGGTACTGATAAAAAGGAGAAAAAAGACCAAAAAAAAAAAAGAAAGAAATTTGGGTTTCTGTTTCTTGCTATTGGGTTGGTTTGAAGCGTTTTTATTTGCAGTGATGAAACCGAGGACCCCTCATGCTAGGCAAGTGCTTTATCACCCAGCTACATCTTCAGCCTCGGCCTTTACTTTTATTTAATGTTTCTACATCTTGCCATGCCAGCATCTTGTTCTTTGATTGATATAGCTCTTATTTATAATCTCTCATAAACAGTACGTCTGGATTTTGGTTTTTAGCAAAGCTTGAAAGTAGCTTTCTCCTAAGAGGGGAACTTAAAGGACTGATTTTTAATGTGATGCCTGATATGTGTGATGTACTTTTGCCACTTTATTTTACATTTATGTTTTGTCATGTTTATTCATTGTTTGTTGATTGAGCCAGGTCTCTTTAGTTAATTGTGTTGTTGTGATTGCCTCAGTGTCCTGAATAAATTCAAAACATTTCCCTTTCGTGGTCATTCTGATTTGGGGAAACCCGTAAGTGAGTAAGGTGGATGAAGACACACTAAAATGTTTTTACTTGACAGAAATTGATAGAAACACTGAATTGACTCAGGACCATAAGACAGCCATGCAAAGATGTCACAAAAGATGACTTCCAGAACAGTGTCAGAAAGTGGCAGGAACAGGCCGGGGGTGCAGCTGGGCAGCACAGCGCCTTCCTGGCAAGTGCAAGATCCTGAGTTCAATTCCCAACACAAAAAATGATGGGATAAATGTATTCAAATTGAGAGGGGATTAGTGGCAAAATGCCTTTCACTGTAATAATTTTTTACTTTTTATTTAAACATTTCTCTCATTTTTTGATCACGTCATATTTACATCACCCGTATTACTCATTCAATACTATGAATTATAGAAAAACAGGAAGACAGTGTCTTCTCTAATACAGGTTCCAAAATTTCACAATAGTCTACTCAATACATCTCTATTTGGTGTGGAAACTCATGTTTTTCAGCTTGAGGAAGTTATGGTATTTTGGGGGTTAATTACCCTCTCTCTGTGTTTCTTTTTTTAACTTTTTTTTTTTTTTTTTGTCTTTTTCCTTTTTATTGGTACCGGGGATCAAACTCACGACTGCCTGCTTGCAAGGCAGGCACTTATGCCGTTGAGCTAAATCCCCAGCCCCCTCTCTGTGTTTCTTTATTCTCCTTTTTTTCTGAAATTCCTCAAGCTCTTTGTCTTTGGGTCCCCTTTCTTGAAAATTGTCACCACTTTATATCTAACCCTTCTGTTCAAATTTTACTTTGAGTGACATAATTTTAATTCTCCTTTTAAAAAATTTTGGGAAGGCAAAATGTATAACAGCTAAATCCTGGGAATGGCCTGTATGCCCATCAACAGATGAACAGACGTACATTGACCACAGTGACTCCATTTTGTCCCGGACACATCCAGCCAACAGTGTTATGGGAAAAGTGCAAGAACCCCCACCTCAGGGTAAAAACAGGTCCTGTAAGGTCAAGAAGCAAACAAGCTATATAATCTGAGCATGCGCAATTTGAGTTTCTTTGTTCTATATCTCAATAAAAGCTGCTTGCTTAGGCTGGCCAGGTGGCAGCCATTTTGCTGACCTTTAGTGTGTGCGACCCTTTGTTTTCCCTTTGCTTACAGAACCCCCCCAACAAATGGACAAAGAAAATGCATATATACATAGTGGAGTACAACTCAGCCATTGTTTTTGTTTGAGTCAGGCTCTCGATATGTAGTTCAGGCTGGCCTTAAATTCATTATGTAACCCAGATTGGCCTTGAACTTGCAGTGATCCTCCAGCCTCAGCCTCCCCATTCTGGGATTACAGATGTGCCCCAGAAAAGCCACAAAGAGATTCAGCAACAGACCCAGATCTCAATTCACACCTGTTTCTAACACATGACCCTGTTTCTTCTCTAAAATAGCTGGTTGGGGCAGAGCTTCAAGATCAGAAAACATGCTGGCCATGGTAGTGCACATCTGTAATCCCAGCACTTAGGAGGCTGAGTCAGGAGGATCACTGGAAGTGGGGACCGGCCTGTTCTACAAAGTGAGTTCAAGACCACTTTGTCAAAAAGACAAAAAAAAAAAAATCAGAGAAAATCAAATTTGCAGCCAATCCCTTGAAGGGCAGCAGATGCTGCAGAAAGAAACTGAACACTCAGGGCACAGACAGTGCAAATCCTAAATGTGTCATTTATCCACAGAATGACAACAGACAGGCCACAAGGACCCTCTGGGCCTGTTTCCCCAGGTATAAAATGAGGCTAGTGGGGCTGGAGACTTAGCTCAGCGGCATAAGTGCCTGCCTTGCAAGCACGTGGTCATGAGTTCGATCCCTGGTACCGGCAAAAAAAATAAATAAATAAAAGACTGTAATAAAATGGGGCTAGTAAGTTCTTTCAAAATTACTCAGTCGTGGCAAAGATTAAATGAGAATCACGCCATCTACCTAGCACATTGGTATTACTCTCCATATCCACCGAGAAGTCCTCTGGACCCCAAGTGTAAAGGGATGCCCATCGGATCTCCCCATCTTCAATTAGACAATGGGCAGAGACGCAGCAGGTGACAGGTCAGCACCAGCTCTGCTAGGACCTCAGACAGGGCTCAGAAGCCCAACCACAACCCTGCATCTACACTCTCAGCACTTGGTTTGTTTGTTGTTTTGTTTTTCGAACTCATGACTTTGTGCTTATCAAGCAAGCCCTTGAACCACTGAGTTAAATCCCCGGGCACTTTTTTATTAAATGCACATTTTTTATACATTAGGTTTTTTGCTTGTTTTGGTTCAGGGTTTGAACTCATGACCTAGCGCTGTCAGACAGGCGCTTATGCCGCTGAGCCAAATCCCCAGCCCCTGCTCAGCACTTATTTTTGAGACAATGATGTTTCCTCTTCTGAGATGTGGAACTTGCCCTGACCCAAGACACATGCTTGCTAGGAACAGCGGTCCCCTGGGTGAAGGGCCAAGAACAGGACACCACACACTCCACAGGCTGCGGACTGTATGGGGACTTTGGGGTCGTGATGGGGTGGGCACAAAAGGAGACAAAACCAAGGGAACAGGAAGCGGTGTGAGCTGCAACACCCCCTACAGCCCCCGCTGTGACCACTGAGCCTCTTTCCCATAGGCAGGAACGAGTCTGCGATTAGGTAAGGACACCCTGATTAACAAATTGGTCTAACTGGGGAAATTCTGTCCATCGTTGGACAAAATTCAGACACTGTGCAATGGGACTGCCAAGCCAGGCTGTGTGTGCTTGGCTGGATATGGCACCTGGCCTCTGGATATTATTGTTTGTTATAATGATCAAGGGTGCTTAGTGGCTTTTCTGGAGTCAAAGTATATTCGGGTCTTGGCCCCCAGTACCTCAGAATGTACATGTGGAGACAGGGTCTTTAAATAGATCGTTAAGGGCAGGTGTTGCAACACACATTTATAGTCCTGGCACTCTGGGAGGTTGGGGCAGGAGGACTGCAAATCCAAGCTCAACCTGGGTGACTTAGAAACCTAGTGAGACCCTGCTTCAAAATCGAGGTGTGTGGCTGGATGTGTGATTCAGCGCTAAGGGACTGGGTCCAATCCCAGTATCACACATACGGAAAAAGGCCTTAGTGGTGGCAGCCCTATCATATCAATACAGTGGCCAGCACCCCATAGGGAAGTGTGACCTTTGAGGAGCACTAACGCTGCAAGAGCTAACAGCCGAGAAGGTCCACACAGGTGTGAAGCGACAACAACCTCATCCCACAGTTTACAGCCCACAGCTCAAGGGCACAGGTCAGCAGGAGCCTCCGCCCTCGTCTGCGGGCCTGACCGAGGTATGGCACGGCCGGTCCACTGTGAAAGTCCCGCTTTTCAGTTGATCTGCCTTTCTCGGAATTCTGCAGGTCAAGCCACCGCCATCGTGGCACATGCCTGTAAACCCGGCACTTGGGAGGCTGAGGCAGGGGGACAGTCATGTGTTGAAGGCCAGCCAGAGGTACACAGTGAGTTCAGGGCCAGCCTGAACTACACAGAAAGACCTTGAGTTCAAAAAGAAAAGGAAAGAACTTGGCAGAGGCACGATCTGTCACCTCACTTGTCAAATGTCCCACAGGACGTGAAGAACATGGTTACTGTACCCCAGCCACCGCTCAAAAGTTGCTCCTCGCCAAAGAGGCCGCGAAGGAGCCTGGTTCCAGTTCCATCTTGTCACGGTTTAAGGAAGCTTGAATGTGTCGGCCAGATACAGCAAAGAGATCCAGATCCCAGATCACCACAGCCTCTCGGGAGCCAGGGTCAGGAATCTGGGGAATGTGGTGCGTGCCCAGACCCCATAGCCGCTAGCTCCCCATGGGCCAAGCCAGATGGACTGGCAATGTGAGCTCACCCAGAGGCAGTGCCGACCTCGGAGGGAGCCTCACCCAGCACCGGTTCAGCATGAACATTTCCGCTCACAGATCCAGTATGTGGTTTTGCCACAGGAGAGATCGTTCCAGGTGCCACCTTTGGTCATACTGCCGCAGTCCTCCTCCTGGAGGTTGTTGGGTTCTTGTGGGTCCCAGAAACTGGATGAAGGAATAGCGGAAAGAAAGATAAAGGGAGTGCGAGGGATTCCATTTAATACAGGGCCAGCAGATATATGCCAGGATGCATTCATCAATACACACACTACCACCAAGCGCGAACTGGGGACTGCAGTTAACAGTAACCGCCCCGACACTGAGTGTGGTGATGCCTACAATCCAGCACTCGGGAGGCTGAGGCAGGAGGATCCTTGGGAGTTCAAGACGAGTCTGGGCTACAAAGTGAGCTCAAGGCCAACCTGGACTGCACAGCGAGACCCTGCCTCAAAAAGACAACAATACTAATAACTGTTTACTAACCTGTTTTGAAGCTGTTTCATTGTTATGTTTATCTTTTTTGTTTAAAATAATACTAATAATAATTCATTCACAAAAAAGATGGAAACCTGAATAGGCATGAGGGCCCATGCCTGTAATTTCAGCTACGCGAAAGACTGAAGCAGGAAGGTCCCAAGTTTGAGCCCAGCCTGAGCTCCTCAGGAAGACCTTGTCCAACATAAAAATTAAAAAGGGCTGGGAATGCAGCTCAGTAGTGGAGCACTTGCCTGCCACGCACAAGGCCCCTACACCACAAAGGAAAAAAAAGCCGAGCACAATGGCACCTGCCTGTAATCCCAGCATTCCGGGAGGCTGAAGCGAGAAAACTGCAAACTCAAGACCAGCCTGAGCCATTTAGTGATTTGCAATATCTGGTCCCAAAAAATTTAAAAACAATTAAGGCATTGACTCAGTGTGAAGGCTCTGGGTTCAATCCCAAGTACCACAAAAAAGGAAAGGAAAAGAAGGGAGGAAGGAGGGAAGTGGAAGACAAGTGAGGCGAGGAGGGGAGGGAAGGGGAGGGGAGGGGAGGGAGGAGGGGAAGGGAGGGGAAGGAGGAGGGAGGGGAGGGAGTAGGGAGGGGAGGGGAGAGGAGGGGAGAGAGGAGGGAGGAATACTTGTTCTGTCCCCCAACCACACACCCCACTGCCTTTTTCCCCACCATGGCCAAGTCCATAGCACAGAGATCGCAGGAGCCCTGGACACTTGCCTTAATGTGACAGGAGAGCCGTCCAGCCACCTCCAGTCCCCTTCTCGGTCCTTGTCACTCAGCCCCAGCCAGTAAACCCGTGGGGAGCCATGAGCCTTGGCCACGAAATCCTGCAAGTTCAAACCCCTTTGGCTATCAGCTCTGCCACCGCACCCAGGATGGACGCCCCCCACACTCCCACAGTCAGGGCTAGAGGATGCTGCCCCGGGTTGGGTCGGGCTTAATCTCTTCCCCCAGCTCAAGTCCCTGGACTTTCCCAGCATTCTGCAGCTCCCTGCTGGGCAGGTGGTGCCTGACCCTGAGGGATGGGCTCAGATCCCCAGGGGCCCCTGCTGCTCTAGGCAGCGACCTGGCTGCCCTTCCCACTCTCTGGCTTCCTGTCTTGCCATGTAATTGTTCCCTGACCTCATTTGTATGGTCTACATGGTCAGGTACACTTCCACCCATGGCAACTTCCATGGCACTGCCAGGGCAGAAGCTCATCACCAACGCAAAGGCCACCTCTGTCATCCAGGAGCGAGGTCCTGCCAGCATCCAGTAAGTGGTGAAGTCCACTGGCATCTTCACCACCATGAGGACAAGGTCAGGGCTCACTTGAAGGGCAGCACCAAAAGGGTCATATCCACCCCTTCTGCAGGTGGCCCATGTTTGCAATGGGTGTGAATCACATTAAATACAATGCCTTCAAGGTTACCAGCCAGGCTTCCTGCACTATCAACTGCCTAGAACTCTCCCCACACCTAGGCTGAGGTCATCTGTGACAGCTTCGGCATGGTGGAGGGACTCATGAACCCAGTCCATGCCATCACTGCCACCCAGAAGACTGGGGGGGACAAACCCATTGGGAAGCTGTGGCCCTGGCACCTGGTGCATCTTCAAAAAAAAATTAAAAGCCAGAGATTATCAGATGAGATGTTTAAAACCCAAGACCTAACCATATACTGTCTAGAAGAAACCCGTAGTAAAAATAATGCATAGTAAGTTTAAAGTGAAAGGACAGCCGGGATGGTGGCGTACACTTAGTCAGAAGGCTGAGGCAGGAGGATCACAAGTTCCAGGTTAGTGTGGACAACTTAACAAGACCTTGTCTTAAAATAAAGAAGGCTGGGGGTGAGGTGCAGTGGTAGAGTGGGAGTCCTTGGGCTCAATCCCAGCACTATGTAAAAGAAGTAAAGGATAGAAAGGAAACATTAACTGACAGGAGAGGACTATGGTTTTCATATTTAAGATTGTGAACTGTTTTAGTTTGGGTTGGGTTGGGTTTGGTTTTTGTGGTACTGGGGATTAAACCCAGGGCCTTGCACTGAGTTCCACACCCAGCTTTTTTTTTTTTTTTTTTTTTTTTTTGAGACAAGGTCTTGCTAAGTCATTAAGTTGCAGAGGCTGGGTTCAAACCTGTGATCCTCCTGCCCCAGCCTCCCAGAGTGCTGGAATCCCAGGCAGGTACCACCATGCCCAGAACATTCTGGACTTTGCCACCAGCTACCTAAGCCCACATCTCAGCTCTGATACTAGTTTTGAGCGCCCACAGGCAAGGTGCTTATGCACAGTGTACCACAGGGTCCCCGTCTCTGAAGTGCAAATGATTCATGGGATGCATAAAATGCAGAATTTCCTAATTGCAGTAACACTAAGTCGAGAACATCGTACACAAATATTCCAGCTCTCCTTTGGGATCACACAGGTCAGACCTCACTTTCCCACTATCTTAAAAGACAGGAGTGTTTGCATGTTTTGCTTTGTAAGCACAAGTGAAAGCTTCGAGAGTCAGCCTGCGACTTGGCACGGGCTCCCTGTCCTGCAGCATCATGGACCGCCCTGCTGATCCACTGTTCACGGGGCCGGGAAAAGGACGGTGCTGGCATGAAAGGTGTCAGTGCCCAGAATGCGTCTGGGATGCAGGCAGTGAGGGTCACACTATTTCCACCATAGAGACAAAATGAACTTGTGGTGGTTAAAGAAACATAAGCAGGGCCTGAACGCAAGGCACATTCCCGTCTCCTCTGCAGGCTCCACCTCAGCAAGACTCTGCCACTGAGGCTTCATGACACAAAAGTGACTTTTTTTTTGAGACAGAGCCTCACTATGCAGTCCAGGCTGGCCTGGAGCCCGCTAGGATCACAGGCCTGTGCCCCTCATTTAGTAATTCAGAAGTAACCCTGATTTCTCTCCATCTGTGTGCAACTCCCACAAGCCGCCTGGGTGAGCCCTGCCGGTGCCCAGGGCTCAGCAGGGACCACTCACGTGCTCAGCAGGGCTGTCGATGATAACCAAATGTGAGTAGTTCTCCTGGCAGAAGCGGCGGGCATCATCCCACGACCTGGTGTTCGGGGAGAAGTAGTAGCACCTGCCCTCAAAGGGCAGCCAGTCATCGGGGCAGGTGACCTTGGAGCACTCTGGGGACAAGAGAGGACGCTGTCAGGAGGCTCTGGAATGGTGAGATACTGAGGGTGCCGTGTGTGGCTGTGAAGTCACACAGACCAGCAAAGCAGTGACACAGTAAGAGGCATAAAAGTGTAACAAAATTGTAACTTATGAAATTTTAGGTGCTTGGTACATTCTTACAAATATATAAAATCTCAAATGTGGTACAAAAAATACAGGCATGTACTCTTCAAAGAAGTTGGCAAGTAACTAAATTATCGATCAAAAACTTCCCTCTGGCAGGTTGTGGTGGCAAACACGTGTAATCCTAGCACTTAGAAGGCTGAGGCAGGAGGATCACTATGATTCGAGGCTGGCCTGGGACACAAAGTGAGTTTGAGGCCAGCCTGAACTGCATAGTAAAACCCTGTCTCAACAAAACTTCCCTCTGTAAATTCATCTCCCACTAGGATTACAAACGATTTCTTGAAACTTTTAATATCTTGGTCAAGATATGATATCATGATAAAAATATATATGCCGATTTCCCACAAGTATATATTACAAATACACACTAATAAAAATATAAAAATTTGATGTATGCCAGGCATGGTGGCACACACCAGTAATCCCAGCACTCCAGCGGCTGAGGCAGGATAATCACCACAAATTCAAGGCCAGCCTGGGCTACATACGCAAGTTCAAGGCTAGTCTGCTCTACACAGTGAGACTCTGTCTCAAAACAACCAAAAAAAAATTATACTCAGGAATGACCTGACACGCATGTAATCCATGAAAAAAGGTTAGAAAATGCTTTCAGCACATGCATGCAATATTTACCTAAAACCAGATAAATGTTTTCAAGGAAAGAGTATTAGAGGCACATGACACCGAGGCTTGCAGATTTTCAATTCAGGATAAAACCCAGTCAGATTCAGGGGTAATGGAGAATGGTTTTTCTGGCTAGCTGATGGTGCAGAGCCTGCTTGGCCATGTCGCCCCTGTCTGCAGCTCCCCAAGTCTCGCTCACCTAATAAGCCCTGAAGCTCCATCAGGGACTGGTTCGTGTCAGCTCTCACATGGTCAATTTCCTTCTTCAGGCCTGCCAGCCCCTCCATGCCAGTCACTGTCAAGGGGTGGATCGGAGGGTGGGAGACTCAGAACCACCTCTGTCCCCCACCGCTGCTGCATTCCAAGAGAGAAGCCAGAGGAAACTGTACCCACGATCTAGGTAGTGGGGCCAAAATCCAGACCCCAGTGGCAGGGGTCCCAGAGCAGCTCAGAAAAGGGAACCAGGCCTGGGGTTGGGAGGAGTGGAGACAGGGGACTTCCTGAAGGTGAGCTTTGAAGGAAAGGATGGTTAAGGGGTCACAGCCCCCAGGCAGGGGCACCCTTCATCCCTGGGACTATATGTCAGAACTTGGAATTTTATACACATGTGGGTGATAATTCAACTCATGACTGCCTCTGCTATGCGAAAGAAACACAATGTGAATGAATTATGCAATTTTATGGGGGGATTGGTTGGTTTTTGTTGTGTTGTTTTTCTCTTGAGACAGGGTCTTACTATGCACTTCAGGCTGGCCTTCAACTCTATGTAACCCAGGCTGGTCTTGAACTCACAGCAACCCTGCTGCCTCAGCCCCCTGAGCAGTGGAATTACAGGTTTGCACTAACACCCTTGGATATGCAATTTTAAATTTGTTAGTCACTGCTTTTATTTTGAGATAGGGTTTCATTGAATTGCCTAGTATGGCCTTGATCTTGTGATTTTCCCTGTCTCGGCCTCCTAAATACCCGAGAATAGGCACGGGCTCCCATGCCTGAATATAGCCCTATCCAAGGCAAGAGAAATCAGTAAAATTAAACTGACGGCTGAGGATGTGGTTCAGTGATAGAGCATTGGCCTAGCATGCACGAGGCCCTGTGTTCCATCATCAGCCTCACCAAAAATAACTAATTAAGAGCTGTATTTTAATTTGTGCCTATATATCCTCATTATTATCCTTTCAGTATGTTCTCCACATTTTAAAATTATTGGTAAGATATGTTACATTCTTTCTGGAGCAAGTGTAGCATCTTTGGCCAAATCAAAACATCTTACTCTTCTTCTTGTCCATCTCACTCTAGCAATAATAGCCTCAGCAAGGACTCAGGAACCAGCTAGTGCTGGTCAGAATGTGCAGGGAAAGAAGCCCCTGCGCTGGTCTTGCCAGTGTACTCTAGCAGTGCCCCTAACAGAGCCACTGTGGAGATCAGGATGGAGACTCGACAAGGACACTAAAAAATAGGAAGTCCCTTGGACCCAACAGTCTCTCTTCTAGGTGTCTCTCCAAAAGAGTTAATTCATCGCTCAAGGCCACACAAGCAAATCCATGTTTACAGCAACCCACCGGACGGAGCAAATGTAGCACAGAAGAAGCGTAAATTTGAATCATTTATAGAAAGATGGATGGACCGTAAACCCCTAACGCTAAGTGAAACAAATCAAACACATAATATGCACTATTGCATGATTTCTCTAACACAAGAAATTAAAAATATAAATAAAGAGCGAGTTAAAAGGCAGATGGTAGAAGCCAGGCATGGCGGCACATGCCTGTAATCCCAGCCTTGGGAGGCTGAGAGAGGAGGCCAGCCTGGGCCACAGAGTGAGCTCAAAGTCAGCCTGGGCTAGAGAGTGAGCTCAAAGCCAGTCTGAACTGCATAGTGAGACCCTGTCTCAAAAGGACTAAAAACAAACAAACAAAAAAGCCCCTTATGCTACAGATACAAAAGATGTAAGAAATGAAATCAGCGTGCACTTTGCCGGTACAGCGCACCCTCGCATTTCGAGCTGGTTGGGTTTCACGCTCTCCACTGCCGTGCGTGGCTTCTGCCACGCACTGGAGAGAGGAGGTCTGGTCCCGCCCCCGCCCGCAGACCGGCCGCGCGCTCACCCCACTCCTGCCACGCCCGCTGCTTCTCCGTCGTGGTCCGCAGGGCCTCCACCACCTCCTGGCCTGCGAGCGGGCGAGAGTCAGCTGAGCCCCGGCTCCCTGCGCCTCTGCGCCCGCGCCCAGCCCGCCCCTACTCACACTTGAGCAGCGCCACCACGTTCAGGCTGACGCAGCACAGCAGCAGCGCGGTCCCCGCCAGCAACAGGCACAGCAGCCTCTGCTTCCGGGGACACTCGCAGCCCCCCAGCTGTCGACCGGTCCAGGGCGCTGGAGACAGAGAGACCCTCAGTGGTGCTTCGCAGAACCGAACAGGCAGCCTGCCTTTCTCCAAAAGCAGGTGGGACAGAGGCCTGCAGTCTTGTCTGTGTCACCACAAGGGACAGCAAGACAGTCCTGAGGAAGCCGGGGCACGTGTATGCAGCAGGAGTTTTTGTTGTCTCGCTCTGCAGTTCAGGCTGGCCTTGAGCTCACTGGGTCGCCCAGGTTGGTCTGTAACTCCTAAAGATCTTCCTTCCTCAGCCTCCTGAGTGCTGGGATTCTAGGCACACATGAGCCACCCCACCTGGTTTGGAGCTTTAATTATGTGCTAGGCATCGCGTTCTGTCTCTCCTACCTTATTGGAGCCTCACCCTACCACAACGTAGAGCTAAGTATTACCCCATTTTGCAAGGAAATAAATCGAGGCTTGGGGAGGTCACACATGACTGAACCCACTTTTGCTCTTACTAGCAATGATGCACTATTTCCTACCCCCCAACATCACCTGCCCATGCAGCACCCCACTCAAGGAATCTTCTTACTTCTAGGGCACAGAACATTTCCTGTTTGCTCTCCTTCTCCTTTCTCCTTCTTCTTCTTTACAATATCAGCTGTAGATTCAGTGCCTTTGCATTGAGCAACACCCCCAGCCCTGTCTTATGGTTTCTGATTTTATATGAGATAGGGTCTAAGTTGCTACCTTACCCAACTTGGGTTTGAACTTGTGATCCTCCAGCCTCCATCTCCCAGAAAGCTAGGATGACAGGCCTGCACCACCAGCTAAGCTCCCACATCTTCTATAAGCAGGAAAGGTGCCTGAAGAGTCCTCAGGAAGGCTCCGGGCTTGGTGGTGCACTCCTGGCACTCAGGAGGCTGAGGCAGGAGGATCACTGAGGCTCGAGACCAGCCTGGGTTAAAGTGAGTGCAAGGCCAGCCTGAACTGCACAGAGAGACCCTGTCTCAAAAAGACCCAAATGGAGCGGGAGGGGGGGGCGGTGTTTGGCTCAGCCACACAAGTGCCTGCTTGGCAAGCATTGGCAAGCACAAGGTCGTGAGTTTGATCCCCGGAGCCAAAAATAAATAAATAAATAAATCCTCAGGAAGCACCTGGATTCCCTGGGGCCTGGTCTGGGCCCCGGGAAGGAAGGGCCAGTGCAATGTTTGAAGGATGGCTCTGTCCCGTCCCCCCAGAGCCTAGTTTCAGATCAGACATCCCACCCGCCAGCAGAGGCGCCAGGGAGCCGACGCGAGGCTGAGGACTTACCAGCGGGGGTTGGCGGGGAGGGCGTAGGGGGCTCCGGATGCGCGACACCTTGTGGGAGGAGGGTAGAGCTCCGTCCAGGGGCTGCCGAGGGGCCCCGCCTCCCCAGACTGGCGCCCCGCTCCTGCAGTTGCGGGGTTTTCCACCGCTCACCCAAGGGGCGAGCCGGAGCGGGGACGCTGGGCAGACCTAGGGCTGCAAGGGGCAGAAGGACGGCGGTTACCAGAGCGGGGTTCAGCTGCCAGCAGGGCGGCCCCCACCCCCCGCGCCGACTCTCACCTGCGGTCTTCTCAGGCTTGCGAGGAAGCGGGGGTTGCTCCGCGGTCCTCCCTGCCAAAGCAAAAACCTCAGCCCAACCCGGAGCAGGGCAGAGCTGCACCGGGTCTTCCGGATACCCAGCCCCAGCTCACCTGCCTTAGGGGGCCTTGGTGGAGCCACTGAGCCTGGAAGAGAAAGGGAAACTCAGAGCACAGAATCAGGATGAGGGAGGCCCAAGCTGAGGCACAGTGACCAGCTGTGCCAGGTGGTGCAGGCCTGTGATCCCAGCCCTTGGGAGGCTGAGGCAGGAGGATCGCTATATATTCAATGCCTGCCTGGCTACACAGTGAGATCCTACCTCAGAAAACAGAAAAGAGGAAAGGAAAAGGGACTTGGAGATGGAAGAGGATTGCATTTGGAGACAGAGAGAGAGAGAACTGCATGGGAAGGGTTGCCCTAAATTGGGGGTGAGTTTGATCTTGGAATCTTTTTTGAAGAACACATTGAGACAGTTTTGGAGTCAAAGGTGAAGCAGACTGCACAGTCCAGCTCACCCCACCTCCTGTGCAGCCCCACACGTCACTGGACAAGAAAGGGAGCTGTGTGTTGTGGCACACGCCTGTCATCCAAGCACTCTGGCCGGCTGAGGCAGGAAGATCAAAAGTTCACACCCAACCTGGGCAACTTCGCTCCTTAGCAAGACCTCACTGCAAAATTTTAAAGTCTAAAAAGGCTGAGCGCCCTGGGTTCAACTTCCCAGTACCAGGAAAAACAGAAAAAAGAGAGAAAAGGGGAGAGGGGAGGGGAGAAGGAAGGGAGAGCCTATCTCAGTGAGATGGCCCTGGTCCAGCCACTGATGACAGTTACTCAGGAATCCTTTATATTCATTCAACACACCCGAGGAACCTGTGTCAATCTTGGGGCACCCAAGTCTCAATAAAATCCATGCTTTGAGTCAGGCAGGGATGATGCACCTCCAGTCCCTACTACTCAGGAAGCTGAGCCAGGAGGATCACTTGCGACCAGGAGCTCAAGGCCCATTTGAGCAAGACAGTGAGACTCTGTCTGCAGAAACAAGAAGAAGACGTAGCCTTGAGTTTGAAAGGGTGCCAGGGACCAACAGTCAGTTTCTCAGACACCAGCTCTCACGCCTCAGCAACTTCACCCACGCGTGTCTCTGGCTGGGTTTTCTTCCCGACAAATCCCTGCTGGCCCTGCAAGATCCACCCGTGTCCTCTGCCAGTCCTCAGCCTCGTGGGGAGAACCCTCCAGTGGCCTCCAAGTCCCCCGCCTTCAGCCCTCCTCTCTCCATCAACATGGTCCAGGTCTGCCTCGCCCCCCAGGCTCATGGTAGCTCCAGAGCTCTGACACCAGGGTGCCTGGGCCGGACCGGCCACACCAGAGACTGTATATCTCCAAGTCCTGGCCGGGGCCCTCGCCTTCCTACTCCCTCCGTGTGTGACGCCCAGAAAGCCCTCTAACCTGGCTTGGGAGGAAGGTCCTTGTAGGGTGGCGCTGTGTTCTCGTAGTCATCTCCATCTTCCTCTTCCTCTTCCTCCTTGGTGCTCCCTTTCAGAGAAAAACCAGTCAGGTCCTGGCCCATCCCTTCCCCCAGCACTCAGGCCCTGCTCTCTACCCTAGAGGCCCAGGGTGGGACCCGGACGCTGACCAGAGCCAGCTCCCACCTGATAGGCCTGGGCGCTGGGTGTTGCGGTATAGGCCGTGCATGGCTGCAGGGGGCATGAGGAGTAGGACACAGCCAGGACCCACAGTGCCCACTGTGGTCCCTTCTCACGAGTCTAGGGACTCTCTCAGTTCCTTTTTTCTTTAAAAGTCAAGTACATGCAAATGCATCTTGAGTAGGAACCCTCCCGATCTCTCACATAGTCTTTCCCCCAAGACGACACCCAGGCGACGCAGGCCACAGCCTGTCACTGGCCCTGACAGAGATGGGGCGCAGGTGACTAAGATGGGCAAACGCCTCCCTCATTGGGACTTTCCATCCAGACAGGGAGACAGTGAACCCCTGAGGGACAGAAATAAGCACTCTCGTCTGCTTTGTTCCATTTTATTTCCAAAGCGACTGAGTGTTATTACTCATTGAGTGGAAACTTTGAACTCCATCTAGAACAGCACAGAATATTAAAGAGGAGGCAACCAGGTAAGGAAAGAGTTTAATGCGGGACGGAGGGCTTCACCACAGAGGAGGCTGTGGTGCTCCCTGCAGGCAAAGGGCAGGTTCTGCCTGATGCAGGCTCTGATGGGGTAGGGCTCTGGGGACTGATGTGGGCTGATTTATTTCCTGAGAGTGCAGGGGACTGGGTAAACCTTTACATGCCTGAGCTTTGGCACGGACTTTTGGGAGTGAGAAGCCATAGGGGCTTCTGGGAAGAAGGAGGTATGCGTTATCAGGGCTGAGCTCAGAACCCTTGCCGTGATGATCGTGCTGTCTCTCAGCCTGGGGGGATCTAACAGTTCCCTTTTGGTGGTGGGATAGGACAGGGTCGATGCAGGCAGGAAACACCTCTTAGAGATGGTGATGTTTGTAACAAGATGGAAAAGGGCAGATGCTGGGATCTCCTACTGTCCTCAGTGCAGTACTAGGACGCTGGTTCTTGGAACATATGACAAAACACTCCAAAACTCAGTGTCTTAAAGGCGACAGTAACCCACGTATGATCGCACACACCTGTAGTCTCAGCTGTTTAGAGGCTGAGACAGGAGATTGCAAGTCAGAGTCCCCAGCCTGAGCAATCTAGAGACTAAATGAGAACCCATCGGAAAAAAATTTAAAGCATAGAAAAGAGTGGGGATGAAACTCAATGCAAAGGTCCTGGGTTCAGTAACAAGAATGAAAAAAATTGGGGCTGGAGGTTTAGCTCAGCGGCATAAGAGCCCGCCTTGCAAGCAGGCAGTCGTGAGTTCGATCCCCGGTACCGATAAAAAGGAAAAAAGAAAAAAAAAAAAAAAAAAAAAAAAGAATGAAAAAAATTAAATTGAGGCCAGGCATGGTGGTGGCACACCCCTGTAATCACAACACTCAGGAGGCAGCAGGAGGACTGCTGGGAGTTCCAGGTCAGCCTTGGCTGCATGGTGAGTTCAGGATCAGCCTGAACTACATAACAAGACCTTGTCTCAAAAAACCAAAAAACTTTTAATGTAATTTAGAAATATGAATAGGGCTGGTGGGGTAGCTCAGTGGTACAGCACTTGGCCCTCACATGCAAGGACCCATGGTTAATACCCAGTAGCAAACGGCAAGGCAGAGCAGGAGTCTGTTATGTCACAAGAGCTGCAGCTCAGGAAGCTGACAGAGCTTCCCAGGGGTTCCGCCTCAGGGGCTCTCATACACTTGTCCCTTTACTGTGGCTCTATCCACAGTGACAAAGATGCCAAATTGGCTGAGGTGCCCCCGAGAGTCGGGAGATGCAGGAAATAAGACAGCGAGCCACATAAGCAGATGCAATTAAGGTGTGTTCACTACAATTGTAATTCTAACCCAAAAATAAATAAATTCCTAAAACAAGGACACCAAGTTGGATCCTGCCCAAAAGTCCAAGTCAAGAGGTAACATTTGTCACACTTTCTTATACATATTAGATGAATCTGTAATACATATAATACCATATTCAATAAATATCTTTTCATTTCTTTTCATTTGGGAGGTGGAGGGATGCTGAGGATTGAACCCAGAGCCTCACGCATGCCAGGCAAGTTCTCTACCACTGAGCTACTTCCCCAGCCCCAACAAGTGAAACTTTGAATTCCAAAGGAAAAAGAGTGGGGGAAGGAGGAAGAGAGGGAGAAAAGGAGGAAGGAAGAGAGGAAGCAAGGAAGGGAGTCCTAACACATCACTCATCTGAAGGCCTGACTGACAGTCGAGGATCCAAGATGGCGCACTCAATGGCTGTTGACAGGAAGCATGTGTTCCTTGCTACGTGGACCTCTCCAAGCTGATTTCATCAGGAGTGCTCTCATGTAATGTGCATTAAAGCAGCCATGGAGTCATAATGTATGGTATTATCCGGAGACAATGGAAACTCAGGAGGTGGAGCCTAGCGGCAGGAAGCAGGTCCCTGGGGGTATGGCTTGAAGACCAATCTTGTGCCCACCTCTTCCTTCTGGGAAGTGCCACTCTGTCTCTCTCTGTCTCTGTCTCTCTTTCTCTGCTATGCAGTGAGCAACCCTGATCAAGTCAGAGCGAAAAGTTAGGGACAAGATACAAATGTTGAGCCATCAGTTAATAAAGGTGAGAGGTGTTTTAAGAGATGAGATGGGGAAAACTTATCAAGGGCGTGAGTGTGGGCCAGAGCTCCGTACTAAGTTTCCTAAGGACACAATGAAAATATCAAATAAGCCCTGATACGATTGTATTGGGAGATCCCTACACCCCACTGTCACCAAAAGGCAGATAAACTAGACAACAAAATCAACAATGACATTTTAGAACTAAACCTATTAACTTTTGAGCAAATGGACTTAGTAGCTGTCTGCAGACTGTTCTACCCCACAAGATCAGAACACACATTCTTGTCGGCTGCACATGGGACGTTCTCCAAAATAGACCACATACTGGTTCATAGCACATGCTTAAGTAAGTAAAAGGGAATTGAAATTACCCCCTGCATATTCTCGGACCACAGGGCAATGAAATTGGAAATCCATGCCACAGGAACCACAAGAACTTCATAAACACATGGAAATTAAATGGCACCCTACAGAACAACCAATGGGTCACAGATGAAATTAAAGAAGAAAGTGGGCAGTTGGTACAGCTCAGTGATAATGACAGTACAGCATAGCGGAACCTGTGGGACACAGTGAAAACAGTCTGTTTTTTGAGGGGTTTTTTTTTCCATTGTGGTTGTACCGGGGATCGAACTCATAACCACACACCCACAAGGCAGGTGCTTATGCCGCTGAGCTAAATCCCCAGCCCTTAATGAAAGCAGTCTTAAGAGGGAGTTTTACAGCACATCAGGAAAACAGAACTTGTGCATATAAACAGCTTAATGGTGGACTTCAAATTTCTATAAAAAAAAGAGCAAACTAAGCCAAAAGTTTGTACAATGGAGGAAATTATAAAGATCAGAGCAGAAATTAACACACTAAAAAAAAATACAAAGAATCAATGCATCAAAGAGTTGTTTTTTGAAAAATTAAATAAAATTGACAAGCTAAACTTATCCAAAAAAGAAAAGACTCAAATCCACACAATTAGGAATCAAAAGGCTAAATCACAACAGACCCTTCAGAAATCCAGGAAATCATCTATACCTACCTTGAAAACTTGTATTCTAATAAGATGGAAAATACAGAAGAAATGGATTCCTAGATACATGTGAATTACCAAAGCTAAATCAAGATATAAAAATCCTAAATAACCCAACATTAATAAATAAAATCAAAGATGTAATTAAAAACCTATCAATAAAGAAAAGCCCAGGTATTGATGGATTCACTGCTGAATTCCACAAGAAATTTAGAGAAGATTTAACACCACCACTCCCCAAATTGTAATGAAATTGAAAGAGAAGCAATACTCCCAAGTTCATTCCTGGAAGCAAGCATTATTCTGATGCCAGAACAGAGAAGGATCCAACTAAGAACAAGAATTACAGGCCACAGCTGGGGATTTAGCTCAGTGGCATAAACGCCTGCCTTACAAGCAGGTAGTCGTGAGTTCGATCCCCGGTACTGATAAAAACGAAAAAGACAAAAAAAAAAAGAATTACAGGCCAATCTCCCTAATGAATACTAATGCAAAAACCCTCAATAAGATACTGGCAAACAGACTGCAGCACATTATCAAAAAGATTGTACACCATGATCAAGTATATTCATCCCAGGGATGGTTCAACATATGTAAATCCATAAATGTAATCCACCATATTAAAGAGCCAAGGACAAAAATCATGTGATCATCTCAATAGATGCAGGAAAAGCTTTTAATCAAGTCCAGCACCCATTCACAATATTAAAAAAAAAAACCCTACAAAAAACTGGAATAGATGGTCTTTATCTCAATCTGATAAAAGCCATCCATGACAAACCAACAGCCACGGTCATACTACATGGACAAAAGTTGAAAGCCTTCACTCTAAAATCAGGAACAAGACAAGGATGGCCACTGTCTCCACTCTTATTCAACATAGTTCTGGACACTTTAGCTGGAGCTATTAGATAAGAGAAAGAAATAAAAGGAATAAAGATAGGAAAGGAAGAAGTCAAACTATCATTATATGCAGATGGCAAGATACTCTACTTACAAGACTCCAAAAACTCCACCAAAAGATTTAGTAAGATTAATAAACATATCCAGTAATGCAGCTGTATAGAAAGTCGACACTCAAAAATCAACAGCCTGGAGAGGGACCAGAGAACATGGCGGACAGACAACAGCAACTACCAGAGGCTCTCTGAAAGGTTCGGCTCAGAGGCCAGAAATAATGCGGACTAGGGAGACACGAATCAGTAGAGATATGCTCTGCTGACTCAGGAACGAACTGGGCTGAGAGAATCCAACTTGGAATACAGTCCTGGCGCTAAAATAGGAACAGAAAAATCTCGGTGTGGAGGCTCGACTCCGCGCCATCGGAAACCGGTTTGGATTTCCCGCCGTGCGGCGGCCGGCTATCTCCACAGCGGCTCAGCAAGGAGAGACGCGCCGAGCTCTGGGAGCGCCGAGCTCTGGGAACGGGAGAACGGAGTCGAAAAAAAAAGGACGGACAGAGGTGTACACGAAAACTGACTGGTGGCGAGGTGAGTGAGAATCTGACCCCCCACCACAGTTTGACTCTAGCGGAGATCTCTCTGGGCGCCATTCCCCTCTCGGACGGGATTGGAGAAAAGTGCCTGGCCTGAGTGACGCTGCTGGCGGACTCTCTAGGCTAGACTAGCCTAACCCAGATCCCAGAGCCGGACGATGGCCCGGAGGAGCGACTGACTTCCGCGTAGGCTGCCTCCTCCGACTCCCTGGTGCGCAGCGGTGGGCGGGAACAACTAGCCAGCGCAATTTGATCAGGCTGTGGCTGACAGGCAGGGAAGCCGGGCCTCCTTTGTAAGATTGCATTTTATAAGGAACAAAAAATATGGGGAAGGGAAGCAACAAAAAAAGCTCCTCGGCCCCCAATCCTGAGAAACAGGCAATAATGGATGCCGCACCAGTATACATTAAGCACCATATTGAGAGCCTCATAGACCAATTCAGGAATGAAGTTATCAATGATCTGAAGCTAGAAGTATGCAGAATAGTTAGAGAAATGCTAAACACCACCCAGGAAAAAACAGATGGTGGAATGGAAGAACAGAAAAAGAGGGGAGAATTGCTTGATGGAGAAAACAGAGAAAGCATTGAGTATGTGAAGCAGGTTCAAAGGGACTATCAAGAAATTAATAAGTCTATACAAGACTGGCATAACAGCTTGAAAGAAACTAAGGACAGACTATCTGAACTGGAGGGCAGACTTGAAATATGGGAGAATGAAATGAAAAACTTCTTAAAAATAACAAAGAAACAAACAGCAATAATACAAAGACAAGAAGATGATAAGAGGAGCCACCACTTAAGGATTAAGAACATAGAAGAAGAAGTAGGGACACAAACAAGTGAATTACAAAAGCTACTCACAGAAATAATCCAGGAGAATTTTCCTAATTTAGCAAAAGGTAAAGATACTCAGCTGTATGAGGCATACAGGACCCCAGCTACCTACAACCCTAACAGAGAAACACCCAGGCATATAATAATAAAAATCCCAGAAATTCAATACAAGAACAGAATATTAAAAGCTGTAAGAGACAAGAAACAGATCACTTACAAAGGAACACCCATCAGAATTACAGCAGATTTCTCTTCACAAACCATCAAATCACGAAGAGCATGGGGGGAAATAATTCAAGCTTTGAAAGATAATAATCTCCAGCCAAGATTGAGATATCCTGCACAACTGTCCCTGGAAATTGATGGAAAAACGAGGTGCTTCCAGGATAAAGAGGAACTGGGGGAATTTGCAACCACCAATTCAACTCTACAGAAAGTATTGCAGGATATTCTAAAAAAAAGAAAAATACAAAGAACCCAGAAATAGTGGCAGGGAGGCCACAACGAATGGAGCAGAGAACAAAATGAAGAAGACAAACTGACAGCTACTGACAGAAAAAGAGCTCAACAGAAATGAGACAGAGAAGATTGGATGATAGGAACAGCTATTTTTGAGAAAATGACATCTTAATAGGTAATGCTGATTCAGTACCATCTTGTTTTGAAGTCTCATCTAGCTTTTGTTCTTCTGTCTCCAATGGTCTAACCAGGTTGTATCTTATTGGATTTTGTTATGTATGTTAGTATAAGCAAAAACCTTTTAAAGACAAGGAGATTATACAGAGACCATTGTTCATTTTCTGTTAGTCAATTCCAAATACTCTATAATGCTGTCATTCTCTTAAATGGTTTTACATTGTTTTGATATACTTAATGCTACAGTATATGAAGTTGTACTCAAGGACTTCAGGGAGGGAGTCAATATGGTAACTATTTTTAAGTCGGAAATATCTGGTGGTGAAACACTATTCTGCTTAAAAGGTTATGTCTTGATCTGCCCTGTTTCGCTGTTATGCCCTCTTTTTCTTTTTCTCAATCTCCACTCCATTATATACTTTTTTATTGTTATCCATTTAATTAAAGGGAAAAATATAGCAGGATATAATATAGTAACCCACTTTGACTTTCTATTTTCTCGATTTGAAGCCCTGTATTACTCTCACCATCTTGTTTTTGACTGAGGTTCCTCTATTCTGTTTTGCTGAATAGTATCAGGTTCGAAAGTTTAGGCATCAGCTGAGAAGATAATGAGATTCATTATAACGCCCATTCTCGTTGACTTCTATCTACTTTTGAAGAACTACAATATCTCCAATGTTTTGGTTTTGTCGGTTTTATCCTTTATGGTTTTGTTCAATAGTATTACAACTAATGATATAGGCAATTCTATTAGAAATAGCGGGAGGCATTAGGGTAACCATTGTTGATCACCTTGTATTACGTTTTTATATTATCTATTATATCCACCCTTTTGACTTGACCGATTCTGTTCTGTTATGTCACATTTGGTTTTACTCTCTTCCAAAAAAGCAATAAGAACAGTGGGAGCAATGAAACCCAAAATGTGTAATAGTCACTGTACAAAAGAGAGGAAAAGAAAATGCTCTAAACTATATAACTGCATGTATATTTAAATGTATAAGACAGAAAATGATATCACAGAGTTCTAATGGATCATTGAACAGAACTGTTTGCAGTATCATTGCTGGAATGTCCACTCTACAAACTTTAATTCTGTGACTTGAACAATTATTTCTAAGATGGCAATATGTAATCTATTAACTAGTGATTTCCTACTGCGCATTTTTTTCTTCTGTAAATCTGTATAACTTGTACCCTTCACTGTTTTTTTTTTCTTTTCTTTTCTCCTTAAATAAAAATTAAAAAAAAAAAAAAAAAAAAAAAAAAAAAAAAAAAAAATCAACAGCCTGGGCTGGGGATTTAGCTCAGCGGCACAAGTGTCTGGCTGGCAAGCAAAGTCATGAGTTCGATCCCCAGTACAAAAAAAAAAAAAAAAAAAAAAAAACCCTCAATGAGAGAGAAACTAGGGAAATAATACCTTTTACAACAGCATCCAAAAAACCTGAAATATCTAGGAATCAATCTCACAATGGATGTAAAAAACCTCTACACTGAAAACTACAGTACACTGAAAAAGGAGATTGGAAGGATACTAGAAAATGGAGAGATATCACGGGCTCTTGGGTGAGAAGAACCAATGGAGTAGAAATGGCCATACTTCAAAACAGTTATACGGATTCAGTGCAATCCAATCAAAATTCCAACAGCAATACCTCACAGCATTAGAGAGAACAATCCTAAAATTCTCTGGAACCAGAGAGACCTAGAGTAGCAAAGGCAATGGAGTAGCGATAAGAGACAAGGCAGGGGCATCACAACCCCTGACTTGAATTATACTACAAAGCTACTAAGACCCGTTTGAAATAGAAATGAACATAGGGGCTGAGGATTTAGCTCAGCAGCCTTGCAAGGGGGCAGTCGTGAGTTCGATCCCTGGTACCAAAAAAAAAAAGAAAAAGAGAAAAAAAGAAATGAAAAGGAAGCTTTGGAGAAACCAGTTAGACTGTTTTACATGAAAAGTAGTCATTCTTTAATAATAATGAAATAAGACAACCATTAAATTGTTGCTTTTTTTTTTTTTTTTGAGAAGCACTTTCACTATGCTGCCCAGACTAGCCTCAAATCCAAGGCTCAAAGCCCAGTATGGTGGCGCACACCTGTGATGCCAGTATTTGGGAGGATGAGACAGGAGGATCACTGTTAGCACAAGGCTAGCCTGGGCTACATAGTGAATTCCAGGCCAACCTGAATTACGTAGTGAAACCCTGTTTCAGAAAGACAAAAGAATCCTGGACTCAAGTGATCCTCCTGCTTCAGCCTTTAAATACATTTTCTTGTTTTGTTCTGAGACAGAGTCTCACCTTGTAGCCCATGCTGGCCTGGAACACACAGCAGTCCTCCTGCCTCAGCCTCTCAGTGCTAAGATTACAGGTGTGTGCTACCACACCTGGCTAAGAGCTCACTTTTTAAACAGTTAGAAGAAATCCTTCTAGAAAGGGACATTCAAAATGGACTGCAGGCGACAGAGAGAGAGAAAGCTTGTGGATCTACAGAGGAGGGGCAAAGGAGGCCATGCCAAGGCAAAGGACAACAGGAAGCCCTGTCCGTTCCAGGGCCACCTTCCCAGAGAGAGCTTCTAAAACAGCCCTACCTAGCTTTAAGACGGCCCTCCTCACACACCCCAAGCGTCCTTTTTCCTTTAAGCTTTATACTCAGTTTGTCTTTCAAGAGAGGCCACATCTTAGTCTCGTCACTGCCTGTTTCCCTCATTTGCAGCTTAGCTCCGTGAGAGAAGGGATTTGTGTCTATCTTGGTCACTGCTGCCTACTGCCTGGCACATGCTAATGTGCTGCTCAGTGAATGTTTGTTGAATGAATCGAGGACCATTCTGCCCACCAAGCCTCGACAGATCACGCCCAAGGCCAGGGCCCCGCAGGCTCACTTGTCTTCCCAACACCGGCAAGCTACCCTGGAGGAGGCAGCACCAGCCCAGGCATCATCAGTTTCCAACCCACAGCAGGTTCTTCCCCAGGGCCCGGCCTGGAACTGAATTACCCAGAGCCTCTGACTTCCTGTCCAGCAGAGCGTGGCAAGGCTCAGAATTTCCACCCCAGCCCCAGTGCCACAGGGGACCCCTGGGCCCGCTGTGCCCACACAGTACTGCCCAGTGGGCCCAGGCAGGACAGGAGAGCAAGAGAAGGAGCAAGAGGAACAGGGAGATGCGGTCCAGAAACCCAGGTGCGGGCGGCGGGCGGGACCCAGGAAGGTCCCCTTTCCGGGTGACTGGCAGAGAAATAACAGGAAGAGCAGGGATCACGGGTGACTGAGGCCCAGCCCCCTTCCCAGCCTACTCTCCTGCCTGGTGTCATGCTCACCAAAACGCCGTCCCTCCCAATCCCCAACCATCAGGCGGGACCGGCCAGGCCGAACCATCCCAGTCCTGGGCCCTAAGCCTCGTGTTGTCCAGCCCCGGACTCCTTCCAGCTCCTGTGAAACTGACCACCCTAGGTCCCTGCTTCAGCGATCACTGAATTAAAACTGAAACACAAAGCTTCAGGAAAAGCAGGGGCGCACCTGCTGATCCAGGGGTTCAGGCGGGTCCAGGCACAACCGCAGGAGGCCGCTTGGGAGGACTCGCTCAGGTGGCCAGCTATCAGGTCACAGCTCACTCCTGGTTTCCTGGTGTGGCTTGAACGCTTGGACCTAGAGGGACAGTCCTGGCCAGGGGAAGCTCTGCTGAACGCCAAGGTGAGACAAAATACCCAACCCCACGGTGAAAGGAGAGGTTGATTTTGGTTCCCAGTTTAGAAGTTTCCATCCCTGTATGGTCAGCGGTGTGGGAGGAGGGCCTGGGCGGAGGAAAGCCGCTCGCCTCAGTTGGCCGGGAAGTGGGGAACAAAGGATAGTGGTGAAAGGGGGAACCCCCCATACTCTTCCAGCCAGGCTCTGCCTCCAAACACCACCCCAGCAATGGCACCCTTCCATGTGCCTGTCTCTGGGCCAGGAAGCCCGGGAGGATGTCCAGGCAGAAACTGCAACACAGAGTGACCAGAGAGCTGCGATTCCAGGCTGCACCACCACACCTGGTGACTCTGTCCATCTTCTGTTTCTGTGACAAACACCTGAGGCCAGATAACATCTAAATAGGGGCTGATTAGGCTCATGGCTCTGGAGACCAGGAAGTGCAGAGCTCATTTCTCTTAGAAAGCCATGCCCGCTGTGACTGCCCACTGATGTAGGGACAGAGCCACTCAAAAGGGCTCTTTCTCTTGGTACAATCGCCTCTCAAGGCTTACTTCTCAGCAAGCAGGTGTGGTGGTGCATGCCTGTCATCCCAGCACTCTGGGAGGCTGAGGCAGGAGGATCCCAAGTTCAAGCCCAGCCTGAGAAATTTAGAGTTTAGACCCTGCCTTAGTATAAAAAGGGTTGGGGTTGAGGATGGAGCTCAGTGTAAAGCCCCAGTATTGTTCAAAAAGGAAAAAAAAAGATTCACCTCTGAAATATCACTATTGCACACGACTTTGGGGCTTTCATTCCAGCACATGAAATCTGGGGACCTAATGGAGCCACAGCACACCCACTGTGTGCAGGCTCCGTATGAAAAGCAAGACAGATAAAATTCCCTGCTCCTCAGAACATGTGAGAGGAGACCCAGACAAGTTATCAAGGTAAATAAGACAAACGGCCCCCAGTCCACCTGGTGCCACATGCAAAGGAGGAAGTAAATGCCAGGGGAATCGTGGGCGGGGCATAAACCACTTAACACGGACCCCTGAGATGGGAAGTCACTCCTAGAGGTGGCATGGGCACAGTGAGCTGGAACTGACCTCAGTTTGCCTCTGTGGCTTTGCACCCCACTCTCGCCCCAGTGAGCCGCTGGTACACAGAGAAAGGGAGGGGAGGAGGAAACCCCAGCCCAGGCAGGGCTGCCGGGCGCAGCTGTTCAGGTTCTGCACTGCACATCCCCAAGAGCGTCATTCACACTGTGATGTAGATACTGCCCCTGCCTGAAGTCTATAGTCAAAGAGGGTGCAGGAGTCACAGATCTTCAGTGGCCTGGGTCACACAGGCAGTCCCAGGAAGTGAGTTCCCTCTGCTAGGTCTATTCTATGTAATTCTTTTCCCACTTGACAAAGTGCAGTGGCCCGGGCAGTCCCTGGGCTAGCACTATCCCCATCTCCTGAGCACTTGCCCGAAGTGCGGTCTGAGGCCCATGCCTGAGGTCCCGACTGAGACATCGTTATCTGGATCTGTGTCGGCTTTTGCGACACAGGGAGCCTCAGGAGGACTGAGGTGGAGGAAGGACCTGGCCTTGGGTCCAGCTCTGACCGGCACTCCTTAAAAGAAGGTAAGAGAGTAAACAAAGTTGGGGCCAGGGATGTAGCTCAGCAGCACAACACCTGCCTGGCAAGCACAAAGTCCTGAGTGTGACTCCTGGGACCCAAAAAAAGGAAGGAAAAAAAAGGGGTTCAGTAAAGTGAACGCTGATCCAGGTGTGGTGGTACATGCCTGGCATCCCAGCATTTGGGAGGCTGAGGCAGGAGGACTGCTGCAAGTTCGAGGCCAGCTTGGACTACAAAACTGAATAGTGAACTGAAATGCATAGTGAGACCCTGTCTCAAAAAGATAAAAAGTAAAAATAAAAAAGTAAATTAGGGGGTCAGTGCCTCCAAGGGGGCCATGAAGGGAAAGGGTTGGTATTTTTCCCTTTTTTTTTTTTTTTTGAGACAAAGTCTCACTATGTAGCCCAGGCTGGCTTTGAACTCACGGCGATCCACCTGCCTCAGCCTCCTCAGTGCTGGGATGACAGCACTGCCACCATGCCAGGCTGTGCTTGTTTTTGGTCTGGGTTTTGGTTTTCTTCAATGATGTGGGGCAAACCAAGGCCTCTTATGTGTCAGGTAAGCACAGAGCCACGGCCTCATCCTTCTTTTTTTTTTTTTTCCCCCTGTCTTTTTCTTTTTTATCGGTACCGGGGATCAAACTCACGACTGCCTGCTTGCAAGGCAGGCGCTTATGCTGCTGAGCTAAATCCCAGCCCCCTCATCCTTCTCTTTACTTGTTTTGAAACAGGGTCTCACACTGAGTTTCAGTGAGGTCTAAAGTGTCCCCTGAAAGCCTCCTGTGTCCAGAAGTGAGCCTTCCCAGGGATGCGCGCAGGGCACTGCACTCACAGTGGACCCGTCTGAGGCTGAGCTCAGGACCTGGGGCTCCATGAGGAGCTGGGCCCAGCGGGAGGGGTTCCAGGGTGGGGCCAGGGGCTGTGCCCTTGCCCCCACGGCTCCTTCTCTCAGCTCCTGGCTGCTGTCCTCCATCAGGGCCTTCTGCCTCCTCCTTTCTGCTCTGGAAACAACTGACCAGAGGCTGAGTCCCTAAGCCCAAACCAAGCTCTCCTCCATGAAACTGCAGGTGGCAGACACTGTGTCCCTGAGACAGGAGAGTGACCAAGACATCTCCCCACTCTGGCATTCCCAGCCAGCCCACACCAAACAGGTCTACTGGAGACACATTAAAGTGCCACCACAGTCCCCTCTCCCCAGGGTCCCTTCTATCCTGGGCCAGGCCTTGTCATCAGGGGGTGACTAAGGGACATCCACAGTCTGCACCGCAGTGCAGGGTGGTGGCTCAGCAGTCCTTCTGGAGGGAGGTTAGGGATCTGTTCCTGAAGGCACAGCAATGACAGGGCCACACAGGAACACAGCCCTCCCTCCTCATCCCTATCTGTCCCAGGCAGGTCACAGGGAGGCGTGGGATGTCATCCCTTGCTATTCAGGGATGTGCACAAAGCTGGGGCAGCTGGAGGGCGTGTCAGTTCCCCCCGATTAAATTTAGATATACAACTTGAGTGTGGTGGAGTACATCTGTCATCCCAGCACTCAGGAGGCTGAGGCAGGAAGATTGCCTCGACACAGTTAAGTTCAAGGCTTGCATGGACTATAAATCGAGACCCTGTCTCAAGAGACCCAATGAATGAATAGAGTTTAACCCAGCCTTCCTGCATACCAGACCCCAGAACCCACTCAAAGCCCAGGGTGCAACAGGTTCTCCACCTCCTGGGATACCTACAGCTCCAGTCATGCATCCATAGCTGCAAAGAGGGACCTGCCCCTGGATCCTCCCAAGTTCCTTGCTCTAAAGATAGCACCCCAATAAGGCTGGGGAGGACCCAGGATATCTCAGGCCTCAGGCGCACATCCAGCCCAGGCTCGCCTTCCCTGGCTGCTGAAGACAGCTGTGCAGATCCTGCTAGGACAAGGGATCCCAGCACAAAGTAGAGGAGGGCAGGGGGAGGCGAGATGAGAACCGTGGCCTTTCGTGTGGAGACTTAGCCGTGGAAGCAACTTCCCTGCAAGGACCCAGGTTGGAGCTAAGCTCGGGCCTACTGACTTTTCTGAACCCCTCATTCTACACCCCTCCCCAAAACCAAAAACCATGCACTACTTCCATGAGTAAATTTTAATGGCTTTTGTGGATGGTGGCAACAGCAGCGAGGGGGATGTGGAGCTGGCCCCACATCTGGAGCAAAGGGCCTCCTGTAGGCCTAGCTGTTCTCTTCCCACTGGACTGAGGCCACAAAGGTGCGGATTTCCATGGGCTGCAGTGTGATGGAGGAGGGGTCCAGCCTGGGCACAGCAGGGCGGGAGATGGGATCTGGCAGAGAGGGGTAGAGAATGAGGGGTGTGGATTCCCTCAGCCTCACCCCATTATGGTCCCTGCTCTGGGTCCAGACCTAGCCATACACGCCCAAATCTGTCCCCAGTACAGCAGACACAGCCCTTAAACCACTTCCCCAATCTGAATACCACCCTGAGAGCCCTAAATTCTCTCCGATTTCTTTTTGTTTTACTTGAGACAGGGTTTCACTATGCAGTTCAGATTGGGCTTGAATTCATTTTATAGCCCAGGCTGGCCTCTAACTCACAGTGATTCTCCTGCCTCAGCCTCCCAAGAGCTGGGATTACAGTTGTGCACCACCATATCTAGAGTCTCCAATTTCAAGGCACTGCCTTCATCTCAAGCTGATACCGGGTGTGACAAACCTCATCCCAGAACTAGCCGTCTCCCATCTTGTTCCTGGGAGTCACCAAACCTTGAAGTGCATTGCAGGTTCACTGCAATGGTTCATCGAATCCCCTAACACGGGTCAGGACACTGCCAGGCCTTCAAGCTCTGTACCAGCTCACAGCCCGCATTCCCATGCCTCACACAGAACCCCAGCTGCTGAGTCAGGCAAAGGCCTACGAGGTCCCCACCAATCTCTGTTGTCCACTTGAGCCTAGAGGCGCTGGCCCGGAGCTGGTTGGCCGCCAGAGTGGTCTCCTGCAGGCGGGTGATGGTGAAGGTGGAGAACAGGTCCTGCAGGGAGCGGGTGGGCCCGACTGAGTGCAGGGCAAAGCTGAACTGCACCTCTGGCCCTCTCTCTCCGCGCTTTCCCTCTGCTCCCTTCCCCCTTCTGCCCTCCTCACCTGCAGGTCCAAGGTTACAGGGAGACTCAGGTTGCGGCTGGAATCTTCGCCTAGGGCAAACTGGTGCTCCAGACGCAGCAACAGTGTGTCCGGGCCCCATCGGGCCAGAGTGAGCAGACGCACAGAGGGCGGCAGCTGCCTGCGCAGGCCTGAGAACTGCGGAGGGGGCGGGGCTCAGACTGGGAGGGTGGAACCTGGGCAGTGAGGGGCGGGGCTCATGTGGGGAGGGCGGGGCCTGGACAAAGGGGCGGGACTAGATTTTAGGGGCGGGGCTCAGCTGCCCGTAATGACAACTAGGCTGTGGGGGCTGGATTCAGCTCTCTGGTCCTGCCATCCGTGTAGTAGGGGCTGGACTTATCTAGGAACGTGGGTGTCAGGCAAGTGAAAGCTGTCCCTGGACCCAATGCTACCAGGTCCAGGATGCGAGACTGGGCTTGGCCTCCGTCCCTCTGCCACCCCTTTGGCCCTCACCTGTTTGCGCGGCACTGCCTCATGGTGGTCATGGTGGTAGGAGGGGCCCTGTCCTGGAGCCAGCACCAGCTGCGGGGCCAGCAGCTCCTTCTCAGCCAGCAGCCGGTGTTCTGCAGCCGCCTCGCGGGCCGTGTCCAGGAGCAAGAGGTGACGCCCACGCACCCACCCACCGGACCCAGGCTCTTGCAGCGCCTCCCCCACTCCGCGGCCATCGTCTTTCAGCAGCCGTCGGTGAACCTGGGGGGCCGCGGGGCCAAATGGATGAGGGCGAGTGCTTGGGAGAATTTCGGGAGAAATCAAAGGGCGGGAAACTGAGGGTCTGGTAGGTGGACCTCAGGGAGGGTAGGATCCAGCTGACAGATGGAACTAGCCAGCGGAAGGCAAGCCCTTAACAGGGGCCTGGATAGGGTGAATCAGGGCCCAGAGAAGGCCTCAGGGATCAGTTAAAAGGAGACCCACTGCTGGACATTGGGGCCACATCTATAATCCCAGCACTCAGGAGACTGAAGCAAGAGGCTCCTAAATTCAAGTCCCACCTGGGCAATTAGCAAGGTCCTGTCTCAAAATTAAGTAAATACATTCACAGGGCTGGGAAGGTAGTTGCTGGGTTCAATCCAACCACCAAAAAAAAGGTCAAACACAGTGTTCTCAGATTAGTGTCCAGCAAGGGGCTAGAGCAGAAACTGGCTTGCAGGGCTGGGACCCACTCACCATGAGCTCCAGAGAGCCGTCGCTCATGCTGCTGCCCCCCTGGGAGCGGTCTGTCAGCACTGTCAGCTGCATCTTCCCGTCCTGGGAGGCAGAGGTGCAGGGAATGAGGGAAGGGGCCCTGCTAACCCTGCCCCAGGTGTCCGGGAAACACTGGGATGCTGGGAATAAAGGCTGTCCCCCCCCCCCCCGCGGAATGGGGGGAGCCATACCGTGATATAAATGCGGCTGTTGACTGGGTAGTAGTTTCCGGCCACCGGTTCGGTCTGGTTCAGCTTCCAGGAAGGTCGATAATCCCGCCTGGGGTGGGGTGTGGTTGGGTCAAGTCAGGGTCCAGTGCCCACCCAGTCCTCGCACCCGCTCCTCCAACCAGCAGATGCCCCTGCCCCTCTGCCCAGGGCCTCAGCGTCCCCACCTCCTCTCCAGGACCTCCCGGCCATTGCTGTCAGTGAAGAAGACTCCGCCAGTTTCCAGGGGTGTGTCGAAGCGGCTGATGATCTCTTTTCCCCACTTGTCCCTGGGCCCAAAGGGACAGGTGTGAGCCTCACCTAACCCTATGGCTCTGGCCCCTGCCCCATCTCAGCCTGAGCCACTTACCCCACAGGTATTGGCCCCACTGTCCACTCAAGCTCCAGATGACGCTGACCAGAGTACAGGCGAACCACCTGGGAGCACCAGGCTGTAAAGTTCTGGTGGACCTCCTGTACCAGGGCTGTCTGCAGAAACACAGCCAGAGGAATGTTACCACTAGGGGGCAGAGGACACCCCTGAAAACATTCTCCTGCCTGAAGCTCCAGAAGGCCTAAGTCAGGGACAATCCTGCTGACAACATGGAAACCCGCCCACATTTTCTTAGATCTGGCCATGTTTGTAGCAGCGTGATTCCTATTGGAAGGAGCCTATAAACCCAACAGAGGAGTGGACAAAGAAGATGTGGCATTTACTATTATGGAGTACCAATTTGCCATAAAGAATAAGCTTGAGGCTGGCCATGCAGGCATGTGCCTGTAATGCCAGCACTCAGGAGGCTGATGCAGGAGGATCACTGGGAGTTCGAAACCACCCTCGGCTAGAAAGTGAACTCAAGGCCAGCTTGAAATGCAGAGAGACCCTGTCTCAAAAAGTCAAAAAGCAGCAGCAGCAGCAGCAACAGGAGCTCGAGTCATTTGGAGGAAAATGAATGCACCTTGAAACAATATTATTAAGAAAAATAATAAATACACAAGCTTAAAATAATGTGGTTTCTCTGTGAGAAAACCAGTTAGATAAAGAAAGAACAAAATTAAAGATAAATAAAATGACCAGGGAGACAGATCTTTTGCAAATGGGAAAGGGACCAAGAGACAGACGGAGGGCATGCAAAAAGAATAAAGGTGTTAAGTACAAATAACAGCTTGACACAGTACACCACATACTACAAATGTGTACTGATAAAGACAATACATGCTTGTAGTCTACTATCACCCCACCCCTGCGTTAGAATGAGACTGAGCTTGGTACATGACCACCTGGTACAAAGACTACACTGCCACTCTTTAGTAGCTATGTGACAGTCTGCCCGACAGAAAATACTCAGGATGGTCTAAATGATGCTTCTTGGCCCTTTCCCTCTCCCACTGGTTCAAATGGGGATGTGATAGCTGGAGCTCAAGCAGCCTCTTGGAACATCAGGTGAAAGCCAAATAATGAAGAAGTTAGAGCAACAAGACAAAAGGGAGCTGGCTGCCTGCGGACCTGCTCGTCCTTCCTGGACGGCCCAACCAGACTTTCTGTTAGGCAGTTAATTTGGGTAACTGTTGCAACAGGCCAAAGAACCCCAATTCAGTGATCCAGGGATGCAGCTGTTCATCTCAAAGGGACCCCATCAAACAAAACAAGGCTCTTAAACCTGCACAAATGGGAGTTATTCTGAGCTCAGGGAAAATGTCAATAAAAGCCCTAGGAAACCACCATTCCCTGTCTGATGCAGTCTCAGATCTGCACCCAAGTCTCCAAGAAGCAGTTCTTCCGTATCCCCCTGATATAAATGTGAACCACGGAGCTTGGAGAACTATGTGTGTGTATGTGGTGAGCCCATATCCCTACGTGTGTGGTACTCAAACTTGCAATCCTCCTGCCTCAGCCTCCTAGAGTGCTGGAATGACTACCACACGTGGCCTGAGGAAGCAGCCAGACTTGGCTCTGCCACTTCCCTCAATTTCCGAAGCTAAGCATTGCATAGTCTGACTTACGAGGCAGATGTGAAGGGGTAGGAGAACCCCTGGTACAAGCATGGAAATCAGCCCCTCGGGTTCCACCGCCACCTCCCGCGCCCGCTGCCCACCCGCCCTCTGTGGCTCCAGACCTTGACCAGGCGTGTCCTGGCCAAGTGGCTCACGGGAAACGGCCATTGTTGGCTGGGTCTAAAGATGTAGGCACCGGAGGCCTGACTGCTCCGCTTGTCTCCCACACTGGCGTTGTACCTGTGGCCGACACAGATGAGTCAGGGGAGGCCTGGCGATGGCCCCACCCCACCGGGCAGTCTCCGCTTACCAGAAGAAGGCCTGGTTCACGGGCAGCGTGAGCTTCCGGTCCAGGACCTCGATCATGCTCAACAAGCCCGTGTCAGGGTGGAAGGAAGCCCGCAGGTACTGTGCAGGAAGAGAGCCAGCTGTCACTCCCCGGGGCTGTGCCAACAGTCACCTCACACTGGGTCCCCTTGTACTGAACCTATGACGACGCAGCAGCTTCTCATCCCCGTGGTCCCTGCAGAGCCACCCGGTCACTCCCTTCTGTGCTCATCTCCTATGACCTGCTCGCCTCACCCCAGCCGGAATGCAGCTGCTTCACCTGTGGTCAAAGCCTCCACCAGCCTGTGTGGAGGTGTGTACCCCTAATCCCAGCACTTGGAGAGGCAAGGCAGGAGGGTCTTTGTGAATTCCAGGCCTAGGCTACACAGTGAGACCTTGTCTCTAAAAACCAAAAAAAGGTGTCACAGCCCCATCTACTCAGGGCCAAGTGGGCACTGAACACAAAAGCTACTGTGCCAGGATCCAAGAGATTTTTAGGAGTCCAAGGAAATGTTTTCATTTCTTTTAGAATCATATTTTTACAAACTGACTGACTACCCAGGCATGATGGTACATGCCTATGATACAGGGACTTGGGAGGCTGAGGCAGGAGGATTGTTGCAAATTCAAGAGCAGCCTGGGCTACAAAGTGAGCTCAATAAATAAATAAATAATAAAATAAGATAACAAAGTGAGCTCAAGGCCAGCCTAAACTGCATGGTGAGAACCTGTCTCAAAAAGACGACATCAAAAAAAGTTGACCGGAACAATAATGACTATATTAAAATAAGATTTGCCTGGATTGTATTTATCACAACTTTTTTTTTTGAGACAAGGGCTTCCTAAGTGGTTCAGGTTGACCTTAACCTCATTATATACCCAAAACTGATCTCAAACTCATGGCAATCCTCTTGCCACAGCCTGCCAAACGCTAGGATTATAGGCATGGACCACTCTATCTAATGAACATCATTTTATTTTTAATGGAAGAAAGCATCCTGGCACGGTGGTGCATACCTGTAATCCCAGTGTTTCAGTCAGGGAGGCTGAGACTAAGATCAGCCTAGGGCCACATAATGAGTTCTGGGCCAACCTGAACTACATAGCAAGCCCTTGTCTAAAAAAGGCGAGGCGCAGGGGAATAGTGGGGAGCCACCACGCAAAAGTAGTGATCAACAGCCTTTATTTTGGTGGGGCAGGGATTTGGTGTAGGGCCATAAACCCAGGACCTCAGGCACGCTTGGTAGATAAGCTTTGTGCCACTGAGCTGTACCCCTAGGCCATATTTTGATTTTTTGGGGTTTTTTTTTTTTTTTTTTGTCTTTTTTTGAGACGGGGTCTCGCTATGCAGTTCAGGCTAGGTTGGTCTCGAACTCACAATGATCCTCCCACCTCAGCCTCCCAAGTGCTGGGATTATAGGCATGAGCCACCACGCCTGGCTTAGTAGGCCATGTTTTGAGACAGGGTGTTGCTAAATTTCCCACGCTGGGCTCAAACTCACCCATCCTCCTTTCTCAGCCTCTCAGGGTGCTAGCATTACAGCTGTGTGCACCACCGTACCCAGCTTCCACAATAAAAAAAGATTAGGGGGGTAGTTTGAGGCAGGGTCTCACTATGCAGCCTAGGCCTTAAATTCACAGTGATCCTCTTGCTTAAGTCTTCCAAGTGCTCGGACGACAGGTGTGTGCTACCATGCCCAGCTTCTGTAAACATTTTAATGCAATCCTGTCCCATCTGTGGCTCTTCGGAGTAAGATGTGAAGTCTTCTTCTTGGTCCTCAAAGCTTTCACAATCTGAAAATTTCTAGCCACCTCAAAATAGCTAAATCTTGGAAGTAGCTCATATGTCCATCAGCAGATGAGAGGATGCAGAAAATGTGACATTTACACACAATACAGCACGACTCTGCCATAAAGAAGGACAGATGTGAGTCATTCAAGAAGATGGATGCACCTTGAAAGCATAACATTAAGTGAAATAAGTCAGACACATACACTTAAACATCATGTGGTTTCTCTTACATGAGACATCCAAAGTATAAATAAAGAGCAAAATAAAAGGTAGCTAACAGAAAAAAGTAACATGGATCTTTTGTAAAAGGGAGAGGAGAGGAAGGGGAAGAAAAGAATTAAGGTATGAGTATCAGGTTCGAAAGTTTAGGCATCAGCTGTGAAGATAATGAGATTCATTATGACGCCCATTCTCGTTGACTTTTATCTACTTTTGAAGACCTACAATGTCTCCAATGTTTTGGTTTTGTCGGTTTTGATCTTTACTGTTTTGTTCAATTTTATTATAACTGATGATATAGGCAATTCTATTAGAGATAGCGGGAGGCATTATGGTAACCATTGTTGATCACCTTGTATTATGTTTTTATATTATCTATTATGTCCACCCTTTTGACTTGACCGATTCTGTTCTGTTATGTCTCATTTGGTTTTACTCTCTTCCAAAAAAGCAATAAGAACCGTGGGAGCAATGAAACCCAAAATGTGTAATAGTCATTGTACAAAAGAGAGGAAAAGAAAGTGCTCTAAACTATATAACTGCATGTATATTTAAGTGTATAAGATAGAAAATGATATCACAGAGTTTTATTGGATCATTGAACAGAACTGTTTGCAGTATCATTGTTGGAATGTCCACTCTACAAGCTTTAATTTTGTGACTTGAACAATTATTTCTAAGATGGCAATATGTAATCCATTAACTAATGATTTCCTACTGTTCATTTTTTTCTTCTGTAAATCTGTATAACTTGTACCCTTTCACTGTTTTTTTTTTCTTTTCTCCTTAAAAAAAAAAAAAAAGAATTAAGGTATGTTAGGTACATCTACATGAACTCTGAATATGTACTAATAAAAAGCTTCTTTAAAAACCTGAGAGTTGGGGCTGGGGATTTAGCTCAGCGGCATAAGGGCCTGCCTTGCAAGCAGGCAGTCATGAGTTTGATCCCCGGTACCGATAAAAAGGAAAATGGAAAAAAAAACCTGAGGGTTGCTGTGTCTGCTGTATTCTGCCTGTCTGGATCGCTCGGTTAGGTGCTTATTTATTTACTGCAATGCTGGGGGCAGAAGCCAGGGCCTCATATGTATTAAGCAATCACTGTACCACATAGCTACCACTGAGTCCTAGGTCTCAAGACAAATGTTGTCTTATGTAATGGCCTCCCTGCAAACTCCTTCTCTGAAACTGCAAGCCCCCCTCCCACCAACAGTGTTGATATAAATGCCACATATCACCCACAGCCACAGTGCAACCTCACAGTAGCCCCAGAAAGGACACTGAGGCTCACGTGAAAGTCACTCATCAGCTAACAACACTCACTCAGTCAGGGAAGCAGAAACAGCAAACCAGAGACCAGGAGCCCATGGAGCCCACCATGACATTTCCAAGGTGTCAGAGACAAAGAAGGGATCCGTCAGGACCTTACCTCATTTTTGATGGACAAGACAGGGGACGAATATTTCTGGGGCCTGGAATGCTGAGATCTGGTCTGGGGGTTCTGGTCAGACACGCGGGTTACAGAGTAGACACTGAAGCCCAGAGCAGGCACCAACGCTGGGAACAGCAGTTCTGGGTTACCAGAGCTGGTAAGTTCCACCACCTTGGGTCAAGGAGAAGGGAAACTGAGTCAAGAGACTATCAGGACATATCATGCCACTCATACGCAGAGACATCAGCCAGGTAAGGTGGTGCATGACTGAAACCCCAGCACGCAGGAGGCTGAGGCAGAAGGACCACCATGAGTTTGAGATTAGCCTAGACTGCATAGTGAGTTCAAGGTCAGCCTGGACTACATATGAAGACCTTGTCTCAAATAAATAGATGAGTAGATGGATGGATGGATAAATAGATGCATAAAAAAGAGTGAACACATCAAACTCAGGGAGGGGTAAGAGTCCTGAGAAGGAGGTGTGAGATCCCGAGAAAGATTACAGAGAAGGCAGCTGGGGTGCAGCTCAGTGGTGAGCACCTGCCTAGCACATCCTAGGCCCTGGGTTCCAACACCAGCACCCCAATAATGATGATAAGCTGGCCATCACAGTACACGCCTATAAGTCCAGTATCCAGGCGGCCACCTGGGCTACACAGTAAGACCTTGTCTTCAAAAAAGCTAATAATAATAATTGCAGAGATGGTTTCTTAAGATAGGGGGAAAAAAATCTATGGGTGACATAGATCCTGGGAGGCAGGGAAAAACGAGAGAAAAAATAGAATAGCTTTCTCTTTTTTTCTTTCTAGATCTGGAAACCAAACTCAGAGATGGTCTACCACTGAGCTATATCCCAAGTACTTTTTCTTTTTTTTTGGGGGGGGGGCGCAGTACCAGGAATCAAACTCAGTACCTTGTGCTTGCCAGGCAGGTGCTTGTGCCACTGAGCTATATCCCTTATTTATTTTTATTTTGAGACCATGTCTCACGAAGTTGTTCAGCCAGGATTTGAGCTTTCGATCTTCCTGCCTCAGCCTCCCTCAGTGTTGGGATGACAGACAGGTGCCACCCCCTGGAAGACAGCCTTAAGCACAGGAGTGAAGGGAAGATTCTTGGGGGAGAAAAAGGCCCACAGGAAGGCTTCGGGGATGAAAGGGCTGTGCGTAACAGGAAGATATTTCAGGGGTGGATATTTAAAAATCAGACCAATCATGGGAGGCAGATATTCGCAAGGGGAGCAGCTATGCAGAGCAGGAAGACATAGTCTTCTCAGGGGGGTGTTCAAGAGAACAGGGAAAAGTCAAATCTGGAGATATACTGCTCTAATCCTGGCCCTAGAATGAGGCAGGAGGATCACAATTCAAATGATCTCAAGGCCAGCCTGAACTGCATAGCGAGACCCTGTCTCAAAAAACAAAAAGGTAAAAAGGGCTGAGATGTACCTCAGTGCAAAGGCCCTGGGCTCAAAGAACAGAGGAACACGCCTAAGGCAGGTGGTACTCATCTAGTGGGCTCACCGTGCTCGGCACTGTATTGTTTCCCGGATCCTTTATGAGGAAAAGGCCTTTTCTGACAGGCAGCCGCACCATCCGATCCACCTTCCTCCCCAGGGGGTTATAAACGAGGACCTGGAACTGGAGTGGGAAGGGTCACGACAGGCCTTTCCCAGTCAGGGCCACCTTTCTCGCGGTGCATGGGTGTTGGCCTAAGCGGCACCCAGCCCTGTGCACTCCTCGGTCCTCATGAGGAAACCAGCGGCTGCAGCTTCCAGACAACGATCATCCGATCACCACCCCACTGGCCCTTGGCTTCCCTCAGGCTCTCCACCCCCACCTCTCCCCATCCTAGGCTTACACGCTCAGATGTCTGGCTGAAGGGGCAGATGCTGATGTTGAGGTCCCGGCAGAACAAAAAGGTCTCCTTGGATCCGCTGAGCTTGGCGAGCGCGTTGCTCAGAAGAACCTGGGGAGGAGCGCCAGGGACCACATCCGCTGCTGTCGGTGTCCACACCTGGGTCTCCTCTCAACCCTGCGGCCCCGACCCCGCCCCTCTCCTCTTCGTCTGGCGCGGAACCCTGAGCCAGCCTAGTCTCCGCCCAAATGCCTAGACCTCACCCCACATTGCCCTTGTCTCCACCCTTCTCCCCCCAGGTGTGGACCCCGCTCCCCCCAGTCTCCGCCCCTCAGCCAAGACCCCACCCCTTGCTTTCCCGTGCTTTCTGCCCCACCTCCTGCAAACCCTGCCCCACAAGGCTTCCTAGGCTCCGCCCCAGCGCCCTAGACCACGCCCTTCTCCAGCCCCGCCCACCTCGCAGGGCCCCCAGCCTGCAGCTAGTTGGCGCGCGTAGTCGTCTGCCACGTGCTGCTTCGAGGTACCGCTGACTGCATCGTGATGTTGCAATACAGCCATCGCCTGGTCTGCAACCAGGTGGAAGGGTGTGGTCAGTGGGGTCTGCGCAGGAGACCAGAAAGGCCCCGTGCACACATGCAGGTCTCAGAGGCTCCCAGTTTCCCCCCAGGAGCGATACTTTCTGGCTTCTTCCCCACCTGGGTCCCCCAGACCGACACTTACTGAGGGGCGAGCTATCTCCGTGGCCGTAGGGTCCTACATTGGCCGCTGGGCCCACCTGCGCCTCCAGCTGGTTGCACACCTGGAGGATATGAGGTCAAAGCGCTGGGCCTGGGCCACCTGCAAGTGTCCCCTGCGCTAGCACCTGGCTGTCCTCTGGTCATGCACACCCACCTGCAGGAAGTTGTAGCTGAGGCGTTCATAGCGTTTGAGCGCTGGCCTGCTGGAGAAGTAGCCGGTCCAGAACATGTGGGGGCCGTCGGCGTAGGGGAAGAAGTCATCCTCCTTCACAGGCCTACGGGGGAGGTGGTGAGGACCGGGCCAGCCTGCCCCTTCCCACCCCCCAGGACCCCTAAATACCAGGTGAGGTTGGCTTTGTTCAGTTCCCACAAGTAACAGGCAGGGGTGGAGTACAGCACGTGGACGCGGCTCCCATTGGCCTGCTGCTGGAAGGAGGGGCGTGTGAGCCCACAGGTGCCCACTCAGTGGCTCACCTGCTCTGAAGACGTTTTTTTGGTTTTTGTACTGAGGAAAGAATTCAGGGCCTTTGCAGTGAGCTACAATCCCTCTTCCTATTTTATTTTTTAATTTGAGACAGGGTCTCACTAAGTAGCCAAGTTACCCAGGCTGAACTCCAACTCATTATCCTCCTGTCTCGGCTTCCCAAGTGCTGGATTACAGGTATGCACCAACACACACAGCACAACTACACTCCTTTAAGATTACACACACACACACACACACATACTCTGCCCTGTGTCCTGAAGAGTGATTCTGAGATCCAAGACACCAAATCTTCAAATGCTCAAATCCCTTATACAATATACATAACGTTTGCATAAAACCTAACTAAACCCTCCCATATAAAGTACTATAATAGTTAGCAATAGGTAAATGTTATGTAAATAAATAGTGTTATTTAGGGGGAAATGACAAGAAAAATATCTGTACACATTTAGTACTGGTGCAGTTATTCTCTGAATATTTTTAATCAGTGGTTGGTTGTCTGTGGACATAAAATGTGGGGATTCAGAGAGCAAAAGGTACCCAGTCGGTCATGCAGACACATACAGCACTAGGGCAGTCAGCTCCTCCCTTACCACAAGCTCGCCCCAAAGGCCAGCCTCTGCCTTTAGTTTCTGGGGGTGTTCTGCATTCTAGGTAATGGCTCTACCACCGAACTACATCCTCAGTCCATAGCTAGTGTCTTAAAGGAAAAGCAGCCAAGGTATGATGGCATGCACCTGTAACCCCAACATGGGAGGCTGAATCAGCACGACCCACATGAGTTCTAGGCGATATAGCGAATTCAAGGTCAGCCTGAACTATATAGCAAGACTATCTTGAAAAACCTGTTTTTAAATTTTAAAAAAAAGGATGTATAAAAGGTTTTTAGCCAGAAAGAGTAACAATAATAAACAAACAGGGTCGGTGATACCATTCAGGGAGATCACTTGCCTAGCAGACACAAGGCCCTGGGTTCCATTCCCAGCAACACAAACAAAAACAAAACAATGCAAACATGCACCACTTGCCAGGCACTGATCATACAAACAACTCATTAAATTCACAGGAATGGCTGTGTGAGGGGAAGACCAGCATTCGTGCCATCTTACAGGCGAGCAGAGGAAGGCACTGAGAGCCTAGGGACAGTTCTCAGCATCACACAGCAGTGACAGGGCCAGGGTGCTTTCCAGCGTTTGTGAAACTCATCAGAACAGCAGGGAGTGGCAGAAGAGCCAGATGGGGACCTCGCAGCAGCAGCCCCAGGACTTAGTATTTGCAGGGGACAAGGTGCTGGAGGCTGGGAGCACTTGGTGAAGCCTCCTGAGCACTTTTGGGGAACAGCGCCAGGGAGTGGCTGGGAAGGACTGGTACAGGGACTGAGGCACAGGACAGACAGGACAAGGTGTCTGAGGTGGAGGAGGGGAGACAAGTCCCCATGCTGATAGGAAAGAGTGACAGCTCGCACACACACAGCCCCCCCCCTCAGGCCACCTGCAGAGACACAGGCACATGTGGAGCAGGTAGGATAATGATGGCCCGAGCAATGATGTCCTAATTGATCCCAGAACCTGGGACCAGCAGAGGCAGCATGGCAAAGAGATATTAAGGCTGCAGATGCAATCAACATTGCTAATCAGCTGACTTGAAGATACAGGTTATCCTAAATTATCCCAGAGGCCAAGCATAATCCCGGAGGCCAAGCATAATCCCAAGTAGCTCTAAAACCAGAAGAGGAGGTGGGGTGGTCAGATGTATGAAGCCCTGGGTTCCATCCCCAATACTGGAAAAAAAAAAAAGGAACTGGAGGATAAACCTGAAAGAGGGAAGCAGAAGAGATCAAACTAAAAGAGATGTCATGGAGGCCGAGTCAGAGAGATGCTGTGTGGCTTGCTTTGGAGACTGGCCAGAGAATGTGGTCATCTCTAGGAGCTGGAAAAACAAGGAAACACGTTCTCCCCAACCCTGCCAATATGTCTGTTCTTGCCCAATGACACCCACGCCAGATCTCTGACCTTCAGAACTGTAAAGCCCTGTATTCCTATTGTTGTTTCTATTTTGTTTTCTGTGGGTCACCGATTAAGTAAATCTAGTTTAACCTTGGTCACCTCAGGGACTTTGTGCTGCATTAGGCTATATGACTATTTGTTCTGGAGGAAGTCTTACAAATACATAGTGTTAAACTGGGCGTGGTGGTGCCCGCCTGTAATCCCTGCACTCCGAGGTGGAGGCAGAGGGACAACTGTGAACTGGAGGCTAGCTGGGACTACAAAGTAAATTCAAGGCCAAGAAACCACACAGTGCAACTCTGTCTCAAAAAGGCAAAAAAAAAAAAAAAAAAAAAAGCATTGTTTTTAAAGTAAGAAATGCAGAACTTTAATCTCAGTGAAATGCTGCTGAGACAACACAAGAGGGTTTGCTAAGAAATGTCCCAGGGACTGTTAAACATGAAGGCCAAGTACAGCCAGATAGGGTCCTGGGGGGTGAAGTTCTCATTCAGGTATGCTTACCAACTTTACTCTTCCCACGTCCCTCTTCTGCTCTTTGTAAAGAAAAGATTAATAATGGGGCTGGGGATTTAGCTCAGTGGCATAAGCGCCTGCCTTGCAAGCAGGCAGTCATGAGTTCGGTCCCCGGTACCGATAAAAAGGAAAAAGACAAAAAAAAAGAAAAGAAAAGAAAAGAAAAGACTAATAAAAAGCCAGAGAAAACAGTAATCTGGGCTTCCGTCCTAGAGATGTAGCCCCACCCACCCCATCCTTTTACTTTGTCTCTGTCTTGTTTTCTGTTCATCTGCTGCATCTCATTTTCAGGATCTGTCACCTGGTAGAAACCAAGTTTTTGTTCCTTTTTTGTTTTACTTTTGAGACAGGGTCTCGTTATGTAGTCCAGCTTGCCCTGAACACTGTAATCCTCCTGCTCCAGCCTCCTGAGTGCTGGGATTATAGGCATGCCCCACCCTGCCTAGTAGTTCTGATTTTTTAAACGTTGAGGTGGTGGTCATTTGTCACACAGAGTAACAACAGAACACGAAGACAACACTCATCGCCGTGCAGGTGGCCCAAGCCACAGGGACACAGTACACAAGCAGCTGTAGTTTGAGTCTGAAAGGCCCTGAAAGGCCCGCATGTTCAGACCTGATGCTGCCGGGCAGGGGAGCTTCCACAGTGGAGCACACTGGGAGGTCTTTATCGTTGGAGGCCCGTGGGATAGAGCAGCCCTGGGCCCTTCCTCCTCTGGTCCCTCATCCCTGGGCCACAGAGGCAGCGGTTTTCCTCCACCCACCCGCCTTTTCTCGCACCACCACACACTGCCTCAACAGAGGTCTCACATCTCAGGCATTTGTCCTAGTGACAGAAAGCGGAGCTGCAGACTCCACGGGGCCCACAGGGCGGGCGCTCTGACCTGCATGTTGACCAGCTGGATGAGCTTGTCCAGGTTCTTGAACCACGTGTTGGCATTCTCATATTGGAAGTCCGAACCCATGGTCATCACAGTGTGGTTGGTGCGGTAGTACCGACCCTGTGGGATGGAGTTCTCAGACCAGGATGTCCTGGCCACCCACAGTCAGCTGTGTCTATCTATGGGGTCAAGAATTCACGTGGACATTGCCAGGTTTGGTGCATAACTGTAATCCACGCAATCAGGAGGCTGAGGCAGGAGGATAGCCCTGAGTTCAAGGCCAGCCTAAATTATACAGTGAAAGACTGTCTCAAAAAGAAAAAAAAAAAAGGGCTGGGTATGTGGCTCAGGGGTAGAGTTGTTGCCCTGTATGCTTAAGGCTTGATTCAATCCCTAGCACCACAAAAAAAAAAAAAAAAAAAAAAAAGTGGGATCGTGTGTGTCATATCAGAGCACAGGGACACAAAGAAGAATTGTCAGTAGTTTTCTTGGGTCCACACGAAGACGAGGAGATCAAGACAGCATGCCATGTGTCAAATCCATGGCTTTTTCTTCTGTTTAGTTTTTGAAGTACTAGGGATTGAACTCAGGGCCTTTCCACTGAACTACATCCTCAGTTATGTCTTATTTCTCATTTTGAGATAGGGTCTTGCTCACTTTTAATCCTCCTGCCTCAGCCACCCAGAGTGCTAGAACAGGGATGCACCGCCATGTCCAGGAACACACATTTCTAAGGGAACTGGAGCTGGAGAAGGGACACTGTGGCAGGGCTGGGACGGTACCACTAAGCATACTTTCTCACACCCCTCAGAGAAACCCCGCAGGCCTGAAGTTCTGGACACAGGTTACCTGGGCAGTGGCCAGCTGCAGAAAGTAGCTGACAAGCTTCTTGGCATTGTATTCGGGACTTCGGGGGTCATCCACCACAGGCGGGTCAGCACACAGCACATCCCAGCACAGCCCTTCTGGTGGGCCATAGTTGTTGGGCAGCACACCTGGGGGCCACACCAAGCTCAGAGGAGGTCCATGGCCCCACACCACGCTGGTGTCTAAGCCTGCCCTGCCTTTGCCAGAATGGGCTTCAGAATTTTTGAGGCAAATGCAGAGTCCTGCTCACAAGTGATTAAGAAGTTTAGGCCATAGTAGATCATCAAATCACCCCTCACCAGTGAAGAGGTCGGCAGCAGGGGCCTTCAGGCTGGCACTGGCCCTCCACACCAGCTCCATCTCCCGTCTCTTCTTCCGCACCAGTTTATCTTGATAATCAATGCGCCCAAAGAAGACACCATCAAAGCCCATCTGGAGGTGGGGCAAAGGGGCCTCTCACCACCACACTCCCCAGCTGGAGAAGTCTGAGTGTCATGGTACACGACGGTACCATTAGTGGTCAGAGCACAGGTAGAAAGTGGTGCTGATCAAAGGGAGCCCTCTAGTATACTTCAGAAGGCACTCAACAAGAGAGGGGCAAGTGGACACTCAGTACTTGCCTCCTACCTAGGTCAAAGTGGCAAAGAAGCAACCCAAGGCTATGTTAGAACACAGATAATAAAGCTGATTTTAAAGGGGAGGGAACAGAATTGAAATGTGTTATGTACATGCACCAGTTCCCTACAGTGAAGGTAATCATTACATACTATAAATGTGCACTAATAAAAGTGGAAAAATAAATAAATAAAATCAGGAAAAAGAAAAAAAGCAAAGGCCAGGCATGATGATACACGCCTATAATCCCAGCACTCAGGAGGCTGAGGCAGGAGGGTAGCTCCAAATCTGAGGCCAGACTGAACATGGTCTCAAAAGAACAAAAATAAATAAATAAAGCCAGCATGATAGCAGGACCCTGTTGCTAAATAAGTAAACCCAGATAAAGGACTGGGGTGCAGCTGAGTGAAAAACTACTTTCCTAATATGCACAGACTGGGTTCCATCCCCAGCACCAAAGAGGAAGAATGGGCCAGCCACACCAGGCATGGTGGTAGACACCTTTAATCCCACCACGTGGGGGGCTGAGGCAGGAGGAGCAAAGTGAGTTCAAGGCCAGCCTGAACTGCACACTGAGACCCTATCTCAAAACAAAACAAAAACACAGGAAACAAGGTAGGGGTCCACCTGGAGCACAGCTGGAGGAAGAGCCAGGATTCTGACAAAGGGTAGGATAGGGAGGCTAGGGCAGCAAAAAGAGGCTTAGGCCAGAGCAAAGGGAAGGACTCAGAATTCAACTTCCTCCCAAGGCAAGGACCAGCAGGCTCTGGTGCAGCCCAAGTAAGGCTGCAAGGAAAGGGCCGGCCTTGAGCACCAAGGAAGGAGTCAGTGTGGTCAGTGTGAGCGAAAGGGCGGGTCTGCAGGACAGCAGGGCAGCACCTGAGCAAACAGCGAGGCCTGTTCCCTGGAGTGGCCAAAGGGGTCAATATGCCAGGCCACGCGTGGGCGCCCGTCACTGCCAAATGTGTCCTCCAGGAAGCGAAGCCCCAGTGTCATCTGGTCCACAATGGCACCATAGTGGGTAGCTGCCTCATCATTCATCACCCAGCCACCGTTGGCAAACTCCAGGCGCCCTGGACAAGGACAGGCAAAGCAGGGTGATTAGGGCCAGGTGCGAGGTACAGTGAAAGGCCTGGCATGCAAGCTTGAAAAGAGAAGCGGGACACAGGTTTGGCAAACAGGGCCTGACACACAGGAGCTGTTGTGGTGCAGTCTGGCGGGGTGCACAATTCTCCAAATCCCAAGCTACTGGGGCCATAAGCATACATATCTTCTCCACATGACAAGATAAAATCTCCTGCAGCTTCCTCTTCTCACTTCCTCAGAGCAGGCTCACCCTGGCGCACCAGCCTCCTCACGACTTCCTGTGTTTCGTTTGTCTGCTGATGCCACCAGCGGGAGAAGAAGGCCATCTCCACGTAGACGAATCGGCGGGTGGGCTCCGCCAACAGGGCAGAGATGACGGAGTCCAGGATGTACTGCACTCCTGCCTGCTGGAGGTCGTTATGGACTGTGGACACAAGGACACTGATGGTCAGGAGCCCCACCCTAAGACCCAGGGCCCAGAAGGACAGAGGGAAACTGGAGAGCTGGGGTGTCAGTCCCCAGCCGTACTCACTGCCCCAATAGTACTGGTCCACGGTCTTGAGCCAGCCCACGTCGTCATGTGTGTGGGCCACCAAGTGCACATTCAGCATCCCCGGCTGCACGATGGGACATGTCTGCACAGGGTCCCAAAAACATACACTGTTGGTGACCTAACTCCAGGGCCCAGCGGCTAACAGACGGGACCAGAAGGGGGCAGGAAGTGGGAGAAGCACAAGAAGGCCCTTGACCGGGAGATGCCTTAGCCTCCCAGTCAGGGGACATGCAGAGCTGTGCTCCCACTGCACAGGGTCTGGCTGCGCCTTTCATCCGCACCCCGGGAAAACAGACTCGACGCTGCTATCCAGGGAGCGTCTGCAGGTGCCATCGGGTGCTTTATTTCTAGTTATCCCAGGGCACTTAAGTCGAGAAAAGGAGGTAACTTGAGCAAGGAGACCGGTAGGAGCTAGAGGAGTCTGAGCCTCAGGCGAGCCGCTGGCAGAGCCCCACGCTCCCCGTCCCACAGTCAAAGGAACGCATCCCAGCTCGCGACCCGGGGACACGCGGCGGGGGTGGGGAATCAGCTGCAGCCCCATCCTCAGGGGCGCGACCAGACCCCTCGGTGCCCCGGAGCGCGCGCTGGGCCACTCTGTCGCCAGCCACACCCCTGCCCTGCCTCGGGCCCCCTCTGACCCCAGCGCGCTCCTGCCGCGGGGCCCGCTCACCTCGTATCCAGCCGCCCGAGCGCCAGGTGTGGCCAGCAACAACGACAAGAGAAACGAGAGCGCCGTCCGCGGGAGGCAGGCACTCATCCGGCGCCCCGAGGAGCTCTGGCAGTCGCCGGCGCCTAGCCCCAGAGGTAGCACACTGGCACCCATAGCCCAGCCGCCGCTGCTGCCTCCAGGGTGTTCCCGGGCCCGGATAAGGCGAGCAGACGCCCCGCCCCTGGAACCTGCCCTGGCCAATCGGCGCCAGGGGGCGGGGCCTGGCACGTGACCGGGTTTGAACCGTATCTCAGAGACTCTGGCCGCTGGAGTTTGGAACAGAGGGCTGTTCCGTCCTGGCGGGAGGGAGGTATCTTTTGCTTATCGCCGTGGGACTTTGGAGTACATTTGGCAGTAGGAACAAAGGACCCAACTTTTTTTATACACTCTGTATCTTCCTAGGAGGTAATACGTGGACCTTGTGCTTGGGGCCCTACGGTGTCCCATGGAATTTCAAGACTAGGGAGCTTCAGAGGCACCTGTTGGGACGAGAAGCAAGGATCCTATTCTGCCCTGTGAGGACTCAAGACATTGGTTACACAAACTGCGCTTGGGGGCCAGGCGAGGTGGTGCACATCTGTAATCACAGTACTTGGAAGGCCAAGGCAGAAAGATTGCAGCAAGATCAAGGCCACTTTGAGCGACATAGCAAATTCAGGACGAGTCTGGGCCAGGAATTTAGCTCTGTGGCATAAGTGCTTGCCTGAAAAAAAAAGGCCAGCTTGAACTCTTAATGAGACCCTGCCTCAAAAAACAAACAGGGCCAGGGATTTAGTTCAGCAGCTTAAGTGCCTGCCTGGTAAGCACAAGGTCCTGAGTTCGATAGGTAAAAAAAAAAAAAAAAAAAAAAAAAAACCCAAAAAACAAAAAGCAAAGCTGGGCGTGGTGGCTCATGCCTGTAATCCCAGCACTCAGGAGGCTGAGGCAGGAGGATCCTTTCGAGTTCGAGACCAGCCTGGGCTACAAAGTGAGCTCAGGGCCAGCCTGAACTGCATAGAGAGACTTTGGCTCAGAAAGACAAAGAAAAGAAACAATCCCAAGTCTGGTGTGGTGGCACACCTGAAATCCCAGAGCCAGGAGAATCAAAAGTTTTAGCTCATCTAGGCAATTTAGCAAGTTATCAAGTTCCTGTCTCAAAATAAGAAATATTAAAAAAGCGTGGGAATATAGCTCTGTGCAAAGATTCTTGAGTTCAATCACCAGTACACACATAAGAAAGAAACGAAAAAGAAAGAAAAAAGCCCAGACCAAAAAAAAAAAAAAAAGAAAGAAAGAAAACCAAAGCCCAGACTTCCTAGATCCACAGGGTCACCTGCTACCTTACCAGAGAGCAGAAATCACTGTCCTGTCTCTGACACCTGAACTGAGACGAGGCTTGGGAAATAAGGAAGTGAATCCACAGAACATTTCAGATGGTGCCCCATGATCTGAAGCCCTGCCCCACCGGGCAGACCCCATGAACAGAAGACAGCAGTCCACAAGGAAACCCAGAGGGAAAAACTTTATTTATTACTAATTGGTTTCCACGGGAAAACAAGTGAGTATCCCTGGAACCACGACCAGCTGGTCCCCCGGCAGCAGGCAGGACAGGGTGCCTAAGGTTTTCCAGGCTGTACCCCAACAGAAGTGGGACCCCAGGGAAAGAGCCATGCTCCTGGCATCACGCAAGTCTGGCCCTGCAGCTGTGGCCCAAGGCCAGGCCAAGGAGGAGGTGGACAGGGAGGTGGGCCCAGGGTGCCAATCCTCCAGGCTGATATCACCAGGGGGGCGTCATGGGCTGGGGATTCTGCAGATAGGACATCACCACTGCGGAGATGGACAGCCTGAGACAGAAGAGACAAGTCAGTGCCAGACAAAAGTACGGCTCCCTCCCCCTCCAACTCCCCGGCTGTAGGCCAAGCCTCACATGAAGCTACTCATCATCTGCTTGGTGTCCTCTGAGCTCCGGGAGTTGGCAAAGCTGATGAAGGAACAGTAGACAGCGACCCAAGCACACCACTTCAGCTGGGGAAAAGGGATGGGCGGATCAGGTCAGTGAGGCATGACAAAGCTGCAAGCACTCCAACGTTCCTCAAGCACTGAATCCTGCCTGCTAATTATCTTTACAAAGCTCAGACCTGCTGAAGGTGCCCCTTAGGCCCACCCCTCCCCACCTGCTGCTGGTACCCAATTTCTTGGCCTAGTAACTAACTTCCATCTCTCTGACCCCATTATGGCCCCTCCAAACTGCTTCACAGCCTGGATTCCAGCTCAGGCCAAGCCATTAGGGAACTACTGCCCCAGACCGCGGCTTCCCCAGCCTGAGTTTTCTCCGCCCGCTTCGCCCTGTCCCGCTCCCCTTCAAATCCCGAACCCCGCCCGGCAGTGCCCCCCCCCGCCCCTTCCCAGGCGGAGCTACACCCGAGGACACAGCCCCGCCCACCTTGAGCATGAGCCCGCACATGCTGAAGATCATCCCCAGCAGGTTCATGTAGTCTGGCGTGGGGTCGTCCAAGGCCGGGTTACACTCGCTTGGCGGGGGCTTGTACCTGTGACAGGCTCAAGGGTCAGGGGCGATCCAGTCCTGCTCCCGTGACAGACAAGTGCTTCCCATGCCCTGACCCACATCCACAACCCGAATCCTGTTGCTTTGGCGCTGGGATCCTCACCTCAGCACTTTGTTGGGCCTGCGTGGGTCCGACATGTTGTTCGTGGACATAGCGACTCAAAAACCAGGTCGCGCCTCTTCCGCTGCTGGAGCTGCAGCTTCCGGTGTAGGCGTGAGGGGCGGATTTTGGAGTAACACTGGGTGTCCTCATGCTTCTTTCCCCGGCAGAGACCACAACTAACCCCAGCCAGAGGAGAATAAGAGGGAAAAAACCCTCGAAAATAAGAAATGAGTGGGGGGGGGGGGACAGAGAAAGCGGCTTTTCAATTTCTCTACGCTGCCATCAAAGTGCTGAAATTTTGGGCCCCATACGAGAAGCCGGAAATAGATCATGGAGGACAATAATAATGTAACGCCCCAGCGTGGTTTGGCGAGGTTCCGGATCCTCCGCGCAGTCGAACTCACGGAAAAAGGCGGGGAAAACAACCGAGGAGTAGGACCCCGAGCCATGGCTTTCCCCGAGCCAAAGCCGCTGGCGCCCGAGCTGCCACAGAAACTGCTGAAGACGCTGGACTGCAGTCAGGGGGCGGTGCGGGCCGTGCGGTTTAATGGTGAGTGCCCGCGTCTTCCGACCCGGTCCAACGCGCCCCGAGGCCGGCCTCCCGGTAACCCCTGCCTGGTGTCCCCCAGTGGACGGCAACTACTGCCTGACATGCGGCAGCGACAAGACACTGAAGCTGTGGAACCCGTTGCGGGGGACGCTGCTTCGCACTTACAGCGGCCACGGCTACGAAGTTCTGGACGCAGCCGGGTGAGCTGGGGGCTCTACGAAGTTCTGGACGCAGCTGGGGGCGTCGAGGCCGGGATCGCAGGCCGAGGTTGACCTTCAGTCTCCGCCGCGGTCTCCAGATCCTTTGACAACAGCAGTCTCTGCTCTGGCGGTGGGGATAAGGCCGTGGTACTATGGGATGTGGCTTCCGGGCAGGTCGTGCGCAAATTCCGAGGCCACGCTGGGGTAAGTCTAGCCCGGGGCCCTCACTATGTGTGTGGCAGGATCTGTAACAGGTGCTGATGGCGCCAGAGACGTCCACTGCCCTCTACAGTGGACAGGCACAGCCAAACCCTTTCCTGGAAGTTACCCCCTAGAACCTTTGCACACCCCTACCCCAACCAATTGTCCTCGCTTTAATCTGCACTGAGAATCCTGCATGGATCCCCATCCCTGAAAATCGAGCTGCCTCTGAGTAACAATTCCTGTCTCCCAGAAAGTGAATACAGTGCAGTTTAATGAAGAGGCCACAGTCATCCTGTCTGGTGAGTCTGGGGCCTGGGCAGGAGGTCCCAGGGTGCTACCCTAGTGTTCCAAACCTGACTTCACCTTCCTGCTGGCCACACAGGCTCTATTGATTCCAGCATCCGCTGCTGGGACTGCCGCTCTCGGAGACCTGAACCAGTGCAGACACTGGATGAAGCCAGAGATGGTGTGTCCAGCGTGAAGGTGTCTGACCACGAGGTGCTTTCTGGGTGAGTGAACCCCAGACCTTGTCCCTAGCGACTGTATATCACAGCTACCCATCTTTAGGTTAAAAATATGCTCTCTAGGCTGCATATCTAGCCCAGTGATACAGCACTTGCCTGGCATGCACACAGCCTGTGTTCTGTCCCCAGCACTACTGAAAAAATGCCAGGTATAGTGGATCGTGCCTATAATCCCAGGGCTCTGGGAGGCTGAGGAGGGAGAACTCCAACTCTGAGCCCAACCTGGACAGCATAATGTTGTCACAAAGGGGTGGAAACAGCTCAGTGCAAAGGCCCTGGTTTCACCTCTGTGTTACAACCCCCTAACCCTAAAAAACTACGCTTCTTATCAGCATGCACCAGGCCATGCCGCCTAGTGCCTGCTGACTTGCAGCCATTATTCATTCTTGGATGTCACATCTATTAAATATACCAAGCATGCATGTACTTCAGGTCTTTTGCTTGTAATCTTCCTCTGCCAGGACTGCCTCTCTACTTTGTCAAAGTGTTTTTGAGCCCATTGTACCAAGAACTTTTAGATGATGGGCCTATGCCAGAGAATGAAAGGAATAGGCAGAAGTCTCTGGCTGTATAGGGCTGTTCTGGTTCACATTCAGAATAGCCCGCATGTTCAGCTCAAGAGGATACCAGTCTTACTTGAAGAATTTAGACTGCCCAACATGGCCGTTTCTTCTTTCAGAACATACATACACACATATGCACGTGCATGTGTACAGATACACTTCAAAAAAAATTTGGCCAGGTGAGATGGCACACACCTGTAATCCCAGTGCTGGGGAGACTGAGGCAGCAGTATCACCATGAGTTCAGGGCCAGCTTGAATTACATAGTGAGACCCTAGTTTTTAAAAAAATTTTTTTTTTTACTATATTGGGGATTGAACCCAAGGTTTCATTCATGCTAGGGTGGGTACACTCCACTGAGCCACATCCACACCTGTTTTCCTTTTGGGTCAGGTTCTGAATTGCCCACGCTGTACTCACACTTCAGATCCTCCCATCCCAGCATGCCCAATAGCTAGGATTACTGGCATGGTCACTTAGCTAAGGACCTTTTTTTTTTGGTCTTTTTCCTTTTCCTCGGTACTGGGGATCGAACTCACAACTGCCTGTTTGCAAGGCAGGTGCTTATGCTGCTGAGCTAAATCCCCAGCCCCAGCTAAAGACCTTTTTTGTCCCCCCAGTACTGAGACTGAACCCATGGCCTTGACACTGAGCTATATCCCCAGTCTTGTTTTGTCTTGTTGACAAGAGGTCCACTATGTAATTCATGCTGGCTTTGAACTATGTGGTCCAGGTTGGCCCCATGAGGTCCTCCCACCTCAGCTGAATGCTAGGATTACAGGCATGCGCCATCACACCAGATTCCCAGCCCTTTTAAAAAGTATATTTTATTAGCAGGGTCTGGGACATGGGCTGTGAGCCTTAGAAACAGATGGAGAGACATGAGATGGCCCCTTGGGCCTGTTTCAAAGTCAGCACTCCTGACTTTGCCAGTGCCACCCCTGCATAGGAAGAGCAAGGCCCCTCCAGTAAGGACATAGACACACTAGCCACAGGTGCTTGAGCTAGACCTGCCTTCCTTGCAGCTCGGTGGATGGCCGTGTGAGGCGCTATGATCTAAGGATGGGCCAACTCTTCTCAGACTATGTGGGCAGTGAGTGTGGCTGGGTGCAGGCCAGGTTGAGAATGGAGTGTCCAGAAGCACCCCGGCCTCACCACAGGCCCACCCTCCCACCGCAGGCCCCATCACCTGCACCTGCTTCAGCCGTGATGGCCAGTGTACCCTAATATCCAGTCTGGACTCCACACTGCGGCTTCTCGACAAGGACACTGGCGAGCTGCTAGGCGAGTGCGTCTCCACAGTCAGCCCGGGTCCCCTCCCTTCCCTGCCACCCCTGAGCAGGAGCAGGCCCCAATACAGCTCCTTCACCCAGGTACACGGGCCACAAGAACCAGCAGTACAAGCTGGACTGCAGCCTCAGTGCACAGGACACACATGTGGTCAGCTGCTCGGAGGACGGGAAGGTGTTCTTCTGGGACCTGGTGGAGGTGAGCCACACCTTGGGTCAGAAAAGGAGAAACACGACAGGAAATGCATCTAGGTATAGGGGCACCACACACCCTCAAGTGCCAGGCTAAGGCCATTTGGGAAGCCCAAGCTTCCTCTGTGCATCCCTGCGTTCTTTCAAGCCCAGAGCCTGTCTGTAACATCCCAGCCCGGTAGGGAAGTCAAGCTGTACACAGTGCTGGGGTTTGGCCCCTGGAATGAAGCCCCCTAAAAGAAGAGTCTAGGGAGCATCGGCTTCTATTCTGGGAGCCCAGCGAAGATGCCAATGAGAGAAGGGCACATGAAGGACAGTGACAGGATGCAAGAAAGAACTACCGGATAGGTCACAGGGGAGGGACAGTCATCAGGGCTGGTTGGCAGGGAATAGGCAGCAGGACCCCAAGGAGAGAGCCTCTGCTGAGGAAGGCCAGGGTGGGAGGTGGGAGGTGAGAGGAGCCCCAGCCTGAGGGCAGTGCTACGGGTGCAACAGGGCCTTGGCTGGGTCCCAAGGACGGGCCGGCCAGGCCACTGAGCACTGTCCCGTGTCTGCTCCACAGGGTTCTCTGGCACTGGTCCTGCCTGTAGGCCTCGGTGTGGTGCAGTCACTGGCCTTCCACCCCCACGAGCCCTGCCTGCTCACTGCCATGGGGGGCAGCGTGCAGTGCTGGCGCGAAGAGGCCTACGAGGCTGAGGGGCCCACGGGCTGATGCCACAGGTACCCACCAGGCCCAAGGACTAAGAGCAACTGCAGGGGACGTTTATTCCAGACACTGACAGTGGAAGGGATGGGGTAGGGCCTTAATAAATAGAGGGGGCTCTGGACTGTGGCTGCTCAGTCCTCGTTCTTCTCATGTGTGAAGGCATCAGCTTTCTGGGCGAAGGTTTCAGCCACCAGCAGTGGGAAGACCAGGGAGGCATCCGCATAGACCTACGCAGGGATCTGGGTGAGCTGCTCGCCACTGCTAGGAGCCCATACCACCTTGAGCCAGCCTCTCACCTTGACAGGCTCTGCGTCCATCCGGATCTTGCCCCAGGACACAGCCTCATCTGGCCGGGCACCCGAATCAGAGCCATCAAACTCCTGTGCAGTGTTGATGTAGACGGCATAGTCAGCCCCATTGCGCTGTGGGGAAGGGAAAGGCAGGTTGCTCAGTGGGTTGGGCATTGCAGCCCAAGGGAATGAGTCCCAGAGGAAGGAAACTCCAGGTCCACGGGCCTGGGGTCCCACACAGCTGCGGGGCTCCTGCTGAGATCCCTGAACCAAAAAACCCAAAGGTTTCAGGAGGCTACGACAGATCATACTACACTGCACTTCATGGGACAGGTCCCAGGCAGACCATGGCAAGGCACCAGAGAAGGACATGCCACCAGCTCTAGGCTATAGCTCTCCACACCCAACCACCACCCCAGCTGGGGACCCACTCACACCTCCAGGCCCAGCCTGACCTGCTCCCCACCCCTATCCTCCTGGTTGCTCTTGGGCTACTTGAGGCCCTTGGACTCCGCACCGGCTGTTCCCTCCACCAGGAAGAATTCCCAGTAGTAACATCCCAGAATCCCAGTGTGCAGTCACACTTCCCTGAAACCCCACACTGACCCCTCTGTTTTGGGGCCAAGGGATGTGTGGCAGCACACACCTGTAACCCCGGCACTTGGGAGGCAGGGGCCAGCCTGCCTCAAAGAACAAACAGTACATGCCACCATCCCTGTTCTTCCTTATGTCCCAGCATCTTTCTTTTGAGATGAAGTTTTACTGTGTTCACCAGGCTGGCCTCCAACTCCTGGGCTCAAGACCACCTGCCTCCACCTCCAGAGGGCTGGGGCGACAGGTGCACACCACTGTGCCACCTGACCTTACTTTCCTCCTTAACCATTTAATGACACCTGTGAGATCACCTATGTGCTGTTGCCCCCTGAGAACCTCAGTCCACACAGGACCAGGCTCCTGGCCTTTCTGGTACCAACCGCCGGGCTGTGCCACTCACCATGAGGTTGGCATTGGCAATGTGATGCTTGACTACGCCACCACCCAGGATGATCATGCCCGAGTGCTTGGCATAGATGGCCTGCATGTTAATGAGTCGCAGGTCTGGAGAGGAGGAATGCGGTCAGTGCCAGGCCTCAGGGGCCTCCTTCCCTCTCCTCCTGGGCTCCCATACCTCACCCTCAACGATGTCCAATACAAGGCCCGGGTTCTTGAAGGAGTGGAAGAACATCATGTCACCCAGTGAGCCGTCCGTGAGTGCAGGGCTCAGCACAGGGATGCGGTTCTGAGGAGGACAGGGCCAGCCAGCAGCTGTGACACAGCACCCGTTGCCCCACTCCAGTTGCATTCCTTCCTCACAGCTGGCAACGGCTGATGCTGCTCAAACATACTGTAACCACGAGTCCCCTCACATAGATGGGGCTGTGGACCTAAAAAACCCACATACAATCCCAAGAGGATGCCAGGCAGCCCCAAAGTAGCGGCTCTCCTTATTTCTGAAATGTGGGGGCTTCACAGCCTCTGGGGAGCAAGGATCAGGCTCGGGAGCTGCTAAATGGTACCCCCAAATGTACTTAGTCTAGCCAGGTAGGCAGGACATCCGGACACGTCCACCCCATGTATAGCTGTGTAACTTCAAACAAATAGTCTGATTGCTTAGCACTGGGAGCTCCTCACCTAAAAGCAGGTTGCTGAACGCCTGCAAAGATGAGAACAGTTGGCTCCTTACCTTCTGGGCCCAGTAATACACAGACTCAGGATTGTTTATCTCTTTGCCAAGCCGGGCGATCATCCGGGAAGGTGTCCATTTCACACCCTAGGAGGGTGGAGACATCAGCATTAACCCACAATTACCTAGACCCCACCACCACCACACCACAAGTGCTAGCCCAACCTCTGTGTTCTGTTCCAGCACCATCTGGTCCAGAATGGGCATCAACCAGTCCTCAAATTTGCAGTAGTTATCATTAGGCACCAGCAGATTCCCGATCCTTGGTACAGAGGCACACATCATCAGTCTCCAGGCTCCTGGCACCACACCCCTGTCACCCCACACAGGGTCCCACCTGTTGATACCGTTCTCCCGCAGCTCCTTCCCCCTGAGGCTGAACTCGCCCAGGTATGTGGGCGCCAGGCATTTGATGAGGTCCTCCTCTACGCCTCCAGCTGTGGTCACCAAGACGTCCACCTGCAATAATAAACCAAGGACACCTAACATTAGCACTCCTCTCTCAGAGGAGAGCTCTTAAAACGGACCCATACTGTTACACTTACGTGCTCAGCACTTCAATGCTCATTGACCTAGAAGGCCAGCAGCCTGCCCAACCAGGTCCCTACCATGTTGTGCTGCACAAGGTAGCGAATGGTCTCGCGGATGCCTGAACTGATGAGGTTGGATGTGTAGCCCAGGAAAATAGTGCAGCCAGTGAGCGGGCGGTGGCTCTGGGTCAGGTCTGCATGGTGGTCTTCATCCTGGGCCAGCGGCTCCAGTTTCTTCTCGATCTGCAGTTAAGATTCAGGTCAAATTAGGTTCTGGCCTTGAGGGTACCTGTCCCAGGGTACCTGATGGGTCCCGGAACCAAGACTCCACCCAGGGATGTCTCCGTGCAGACCAAGTCCCTTCGGCGACCCACAGCATCTCCTTTTCGGGTTCAGTTTCTAACAGGGAAAAACAAATTAAAGCCCTCCACTGACTTACGCTTCTCCTCCAATTCCCTCCCCTAACCACATGGTCTTAGCCCTAATCTGCCCATTGGTGAAGCTTTAAATTTCCCGGAACCTGGCCCCTACTTAAGCAAGGATACTGACCCGCGCCCGTAGAAACCCCGCCCCGCCTCGCCCCGCCCCCACGGGTATTCTTCGCTCCAGCGCCTGCACAAGCGCCCCCGCCTCACCATAGCGTTGACTTGCTGCACTGCGCGCCCGAAGTTGGTGGCCTGGAAGCCGGTAGTGCCGAAGGCCTGCAGGAGCGCGTGGTAGTCCACGCCGCGGCTGAAGTCGTAGCCCCGGACCTGCGCGCTCTCGGGCGGCAAAGCCGAGCTGTGTTTCAGCACGGCAGACAGCGCCGCCGCGGGCGCTTCCCCCATTGAAGAGCCCTCCATGGGCTTACAGGTGACCTCTCAGGAAAGCCCCTTAAACCGAGGCCACCTGGGCATCCAAGCGCGCTAAGCCCTAACACCGCCTCTCTGCAAGAGTACAGGAAGTAGCGCTCCGCAAACGGAAGTCGTCACGTGACTGCCCGTAGCGCCTGCTTTCCCGGGTGTGGCCATCTTTGTGCACGCATTCCGTACTACGGAAAGCCTTGGGAGCCAGTACTTTTTAGGTGCTGCTCTCTGTTTTCCAAAATGCGCCTGCTGTACTGCTGAACAGTCGACTCACAACCATGATAAACTGCAGGCCCTAGGCTGGAAATCACTCAGTGCCTGCCAGGCAAGCACGAGGTTGTGAGTTCGATACCCAGTGCCAGGAAAGAAAGAAGAAAAAAAAAAAAAAAAAAAAAAAACCCTGGCTTACCAAGCAGCATGGTGCATGCCTGTAATCTCAGTTGCTTTAAAAGCTGAACAATTTCAAATTCCTTCCCTGAGCCTGGACTCAACCTAGTGATTTAGCAAAACCCTGTCTCCAAAAATAAGATTAAAAGATACACACCAGGGGCTGGGGATTTAGCTCAGCGACATAAGCACCTGCCTTGCAAGCATGCGGTCGTGAATTCGATCCCCGGTACCGATTAAAAAAAAAAAAAAAAAAAGGTACACACCTGCAATCCTACATTTGGGAAGCTGAAGCTAGAGGATTCCTAGGCCAGCCTGGGATACATACTGACTTCAAAGGCAACCTGACTACATAGTGAGACCCTGTCTGACCAAAAAAAAAGAGATGAAAAGGGCTGGAGGCATGTCCAGGTGTGGTGGCACATGCCTGTTATCCGTAGGCTGAGGCAGGAAGATCACTGAGAGTTCAGAGGCCAGCCTGGGCTACATGTAATTGTGTGCCAGCCTGAATGAGTTACAAAGCAAGACCCTGTTCAAAAACAAAAAGAAAAAAAGCATTGGGTATCTTCAATCCTCAGTACCACAGAAAAGAGGTGGGGTGGGACGGATTGACTGCGTTTACCCTGTGCCCTGACTGCTGAAAGAGCATGTTGGGAAGGTGCAGGACAGTGAGCACTGATGACTATAGCGAACTGGCCGCACTGGCTAGGTGACACAGGAAAGGAGGAGGGCGATAGGCACAGGCCTGAGTGTGCCCAGACAGAGCTTGACTTTCAGGCTGTGGTGATGGCATGTAAGCCAGCATCAGACATGCAAGCACCTGAAAAGGGGATGCATCGTGGCCAAGCCTGCACAGCTGGGATCAGGGCACAGTCAGGGTGGCACCTGGCTGGGAGAGGGGGAGATGACTGGAGGAGCACTGAGGACCCAGGAGCTCTGGGGCTCAGAGGGGAGCAGTAGTACTAAGGCACTGTAGGCACCAGAGAGTACAGCAAGTCCCCAGGGAGGATACCAGGTAGTGGGCCACAGGGAACCAGAGCTGGAGCCATCTGTATGCTGTCAGCAGTAGCAGTGGCTGTCAGGAACAGTCAGCAGGGGACCCAGCAGCTGGCAGGGGACCTAGGAGGTACCCATGTGACAGCAGAGCAGCCTCCGGGTCTCCTGAAGCGGGGGACACCCCTGCCACAGCAGCTGCTACTGCTGGTGACATTTCACTGAGGCCTGGCTTCAAAGTCTCTGTGGGTGGGGAGGAGAGGGCGGAGAGGCTGGGCACCGTGGGCAAGGGCCAGAGGGCTGACTGCTGCGGGAGGACCAGCACTGGCATTTGCAGGAGTCTGCAGAGAGGAACCGGAGTTGAGGTTCGGGCAACAAGGGAGGAGCGCAGGGACCCTTGGGGGCCCCAGGGATTGCTCATATTCTACCCTCCTCAGATGTCCAGCAAGGTGGCCACTGGCAGTGACATCGGCCACGCCCGCCGGGCCATAGAGCAGCTGCGGATGGAAGCCGGCATCGAGCGCATGAAGGTGAGGGCAGATACAGGGGCAGCAGTGCGCGGGGCAAGCACCCCAGGGAAGGGCAGGGACCCGGGCTGCAGCCTGTGGGCTTGCTCTGCAGGTGTCCAAGGCAGCCACCGACCTGCTGCAGTTCTGCACTGAGCAGGCCAAGAGTGACCCCTTCCTTGTGGGCATCCCGGCTGCCACCAACCCCTTCAAGGAGAAGAAGCCCTGTGCCATCCTGTGATACCCCACAGCCCCGAGCCTCAATAAACAGCAACTGCTCCTAGAGGCACAGACTGGCTAGCTGGGATGAGGGTGCTTGGGGGTGCTTGGGGGGCCCAGTCTCCCTCCCCACCCCTCACAGTGGCCTGGGCAGAGGGCCACTGTCACCCCTTGCAGTCACAGATCAAGCACAGTCACATGCAAAGCGGCGCAGACACTGATACAGGCACCTGGCCTGTGTCCACAGTGGGGCTGTCGTACCACCTGCCCACCCAGCGCCACCACCGCCCACTCGGCTCCTGCCACATGCCCCACAGCAGCCATGCGAGGCTTTCTAGCGCCAAGCGCCTGCGCAGCGCATCCTGTTTATTCTCCTGCTTTCCACAGGAACAGGGGAGGAGTCACCTCCCCAGGCACCGGGTGGCCAGGGTCCTGGGCCCGAGGGTCAGAGGCAGCACCAGTGGGGATCCAGGCCCCCAAAGGCTGAGGGCCTCAGCCTCCAGCCAGCAGTATAGAGCAACACTGTGTCCATGTCCATGCGCTCAGGCCTGCAGCCTCCAGACTTCCAGTGACAGGCCCCCGGACGCGGCCACCACATTGCCCTCAGCACAGATCTGTGGTGGGGGTGGAGTCAGAGTCAGGGACAAAGGGTTCAGGGCAGCTGTAGGGGCTGGGGGTTGGGGTTAGGGGTCAGAGCAGACTGGGGGCCTCACCCCATTCAGTGCGCTGTGATGGCTGCGTGTGCACAAAGTCCAGGGCGGGTCCGTGGGCACGTGCACCTGCAAGAAGGTGTGGTGTTGGATGCAGCCCCAGCCCAGGACCCCAGAACCCTTGGGCCTGAGGTGTGTGCTGAGCAGGGGGTGGCGTCCTCACCCGGATGGTCTTGTCCATGGATGTGGTGTACAAGGCCCCCAACGAGTGCTTGATGCCGGTGATCTGAGACTTGTGGCCCACGTCAAAGGACTGTGGAAGGGGACATGGGAGGCCATCAGGGCAGAAGGAGGAGCGGGGTGGGGGAGGGAGAAGGCCGAGCGGGTGGAGTGGGGTGAGGGGCCCTGCAGACCCTGACAAGCCGGAAGCAGCCGTGATCCTGGGCGAAGACATGCAGCAGGCCCTGGTTGTCGCCAGCCCATAGCTGGGGCTCCCGGTAGGACATGCAGAGCAGGTAGGAGTCCAGCTGTGGGAGGGGCGGACAGGGTGGCTCAGGTGGGCCAGAGCAGTGGCCTGGCCCAGAGGTGGGGAGGACGGGGAAGCGCCCACCTGCAGCCGCTGATGCACACTGTTGGTGCGGCGGTCGAATACCACCAAGGTGTGGTCCTCGCTGCAGGAGATGATGTGCCTATCGTCTGCCAGCAGCGCCAGCACCGCACTGGAGTGCAGCCGATGGCTCTTCAGCAGGGTGGGGCCAGCTTGGCAGGAGATGGGGGCGGGAAGGGGAATCAGGGCCCTCACAGACTCCTGCACACCCTACAGACCCCTTGGGCTGCTCAGCCCCTCCCAGCAGCTGACTCTCCCTGGCTCCTGCAGGGCGGCATCTAGGACTCCCAGGCCTTGGCTCCAACCTGTCCCTCTGCCAAGGAGCCACTTCAAGCATCCTAGGCCCAGTCATAGCTCTGCATGGACAGCCTGCAGCGACCGGGTTCCATGAGAATGAATGAATAAAACACAGAAAAGACCCGTGTGCGAGGCAGTCTTTGTTCTAGACATTTTGGGTTTCTTTTGGGTTTTTTTTTTTTTTTGTCTTTTTCATTTTTATCAGTACCAGGGATCGAACTCATGACCACCTGCTTGCAAGGCAGGTGCTTATGCCACTGAGCTAAATCCCCAGCCCCTTGGGTTTCTTTTGATTTTGTTTTGTTTTTTGCTTTTTTGAGAGGGCACTCCAGGCTGGCATTGAACTCACAGCGACCCTCCCACCACAGCTTGCCCAGTGTAGGGTTTAAGGCCCACCACACTGGGCTTGCTCTGATGACTTGTGTGATCTCTTTTACCTGGTGCTGGGGATGGAACTGAGGCCTCCCATGAGCTTGACCAGAGCTCCCTCACCAAGGGGTACCCAGCTGCACCAGCAGGTTCAGTATCATCCCTGCCATCAACCCCCGGGCTGGTGCATCACAAGGGCTTGGATTTGGGATTGCAAATGGCTCCCAAATTCTCCCCACAGGATCCAGCTTGCCAAAGTCACAGAGCTGGGAGATGGGGAGCCAGAATCCTATGCCCGACTCCGACCTGCCAGGGCTCCTTTGTGCCCCCCTACCCCACCCACATGTGTGGCCTGACCCCCTCAGGTTGAGCACTGGCTAGGTGACTTTGTCACCATCTCAACTTGACTCCAAAACCCCAAGCAGCCTGTGCTCCCCACCTGAGCCCCAGGGGGCAGCCCACCTCTGGGATCGTAGATGGTCACCTTCTTGTCATAGGTGCCAGCTACCAAGATGTCAGGCTGGTAGGAGAGGCACAGCACCGCTGCCTTGCCCCTGGGGACACAGACCACAAGGTTGGGGCAGTGGCCAGGCAGGGCCCAACCAGCCTCACACCCCAGCTAGAGCCCCTCGTACTTTATCTCACCGAACTGTTGTCCATCAGCTGCCATGTCCCACAGCTTGATGGTACTGTCCCAGGATCCAGAACATACACGGTGGTCTTGAGCCGCCAGTGACCACACCCAGCCCTGCAGGGACCAGAGGGATACAGCAGTCATACAGGGCCCTGTCTTCCCCCACTGCCCTGGGCGCAAGGCTGGGTCTTCCTGTTTTTGCATTAGAGGCTCAGAGAGGTCACTGGATTCACCTGAAGCCACATAGATTTCCCTTAATGTCCACTATGAAACAGTGAAACACTGTGAAACTGTCACACAATACACAACTCTAGCTCCACATCCCCGTCCCACAGGGCCAAAGGAGGAAGATAAGGGGCGCAAGAACCCAGAGTCAGTCCAAACCTGGGTGAAAAGGGAGGTGTCTTAACTTCAAAGCCCAGTGCACGCACAAACTTCCCCAGTAACCCTGGGTTCTGCAGGGACTCAGCACCAGCAGTAGTCTGAGGCTATGTGGGAATATGATAAAAGCACAGCCTCAGCTGGGTGTGGTGGCACACACCTGTAATCTCAGCATTCAAGAGGCTGAGGCAGGAGGATCACCACAGGTTCAAGGCCAGCCTAGTGAGAGCCTGTCTCAAAACAAATAAATAAATAAAAATAATATGCCCCAGAGTATGGGCAGCTCACTTACTCCTCATCAAACCCTCTGGGCAAGGTACTATAATGTACATATCCATATGAAATTATGAGACTGAGCCACAGAGAAGTCTCTCACCAAGGCCACATAGTCAGAACACAGCAGAGTGGGGATTTGAACCTAGGACCTGATCTGTTGGCCATGGGCCAGGACCGCCTTGAAGACTGGTGGAAGTGCCCCTCCACTGCCATTTTCTCGCTTGTTTTGAGATAGGGTCTTGCTATGGAGCCCAGGCTGGCCTCAAACTTGTGTAGATCCTCCTGCCTCAGGCTCCTGAGTGCTAGGATTACAGGTGTGTACCATCATGCCAGGCTCTCTGCCACTTCTCATGAAAGACCTGAGGTTGCTGGTCCCCAAAGACAGCCTCCTTACTGCCCCCTACTGGGCCCCTCTACTGAGCTACCTTGTGCCAAAGCCCTCATTCCAATACAGTTCATATTCACTCATTCTCATCTTCACTGTCCACTTGTCAGAAGTGGAAACTGAGGCACAGAAAGTCACATCACACTCCAAACCACACAACAGTAGAAGGCCAGATTCAAATCTACACAGTCTGGCACCAAAACCCAAGCTCTTGCCAGGAATGACTGCACACACCTGTAATTCCATCACTGGGAAGGCTGAGGCAGGAGGACCACTGTGGACACTGCCTGGACTACAAGCACAGCCTTGTCTCAAAACAACAGCAAAATCCCAGACTCTACCCACTCCTCTTGCCTCCTCCTGTCATGGCCCTCACCTTGTGGGTGCTACCCTTCTGGGCACCCAAGGCCTTGACCAGAACCTGGCTGGGCTCTGCCCCGAGATGCCGCAGGTCCCACAGGTTGATGTTGCGATCTCGAGAGCCGGACAGACAAAGCGTCCCACCCTGTGGGGACAGCAGGAAATGTGAGTGGAGTCCCTCATTCCTATGCCCAGCACCCCACACTGAGCCTGCCTCACCTGAAGCAGCAGCACCGAGTCAATGGATGCAAAGTGCCCATCAGCCAGGCAGAAGTACTCGGCCCGGCGCCCATCCTCAGCCCAGCATGCCAGGTGCTGCTCCAGCTCCATGCACGCCATTGGCCAGTTGAAGTCCTCCTCTGTGGGGTACCACAAGCAGGGCCCCAGTGAGTGCCAGGTTCCAGGGAGCACAGCTACACCCAACATGGGCAGATCCTCAGCTGGGCATGGCACAGTGGCGCATGCCTATAATCCCAGCACTCAGGCAGCTGAGGCAGGAGGATCACTGCCACCTGACTAACCACCTCCCAGCAGGTTAAAAACACCTCTTATTTCCAAAATTTCGGGCCTCAACAACAGTCTTCCAGAGGGAAGCAAAAATTAAAAAATTAAGATGTGCTATGTTCATGTAACAACTCTACATGATGAATGTAATCATTACACACTCCAAACTCATATTAATAAAAATACAAATTTAGCCAGACATGGTGATGCACATCTAAGTAATTCAGACTGGCCTTGAACTCACTTTGTAGCCCAGGATGGCCTCAACTCGCAGTGATCCTCCCGCCTCAGCTCCCAAGTGCTGGGATCACAAGTATAAGTAACCATGCCAGGCTCATTTTTCTTTTTTGAGACAAAGTCATAGTCCAGGCTGGCCTCAAATTTGTGGAGATCCTCCTACCTCAGCCTCCCAAGTGTGTAAACGAAGCGTACAACATCTTGCCTAGCACACGTATCTATATTTTTCTAGCTTCTGGGAAATTTTTGTTCATCTGCAGGGTGCAGATGTCAACACCTTGTGAATCACTGATGCAGGAACCCCACTCCCCTGCAGACTGATAATCAACTATCCAAATTGTACCTCCCACTGACTCAAAGGCCTGTAGGTCCAATAATATCACCATCATACCAATGCAAGACCCCTAAACTGTCCTCCCCAACGAACCAGTGAACTCGGGAAGCAATGAGTACGCGCCCCTAAAGATGACAGTTTAGACCCAGAGCTTGAAGATCTGTAATAGCTGGTATCAAGAATTTCAGCCCCTAAAACTTAAGCAGGGGTTACGGACTCCAGAGCCAAGCCTCTGTCCTACCTCTCCTGGTCCAAGGCCAAAGACTTTGGTACCACCAGAAACAATCTCAACCTCCCCAGCCAGAGCCAGAACAGCCAGAGGCCTGTGCTGGACTGTGCACGTGGCAGCCAGGTGCCATTTCCCACCACAAGCTTGCCCTGGGCTGGGCGGGCCCCCGCCGGCCCCCACCGGCCCCCACCTTCCACCACTGGGTAGGGCGCGCGAACGCGGCGCTGCGCGCGGAGCCTCCAGGTGGCGTGGTCGCGCACAAGGTCGCGCAGTGCGTGGCACACGCGCGGAAGGACATGGAGCACGAGGCGCGCGTCCAGGTAGGCGCAAATCTCGAGGAGCAGCTCCGGGGGCAGGTTCAGCAGGCCCGGCGCACCCACCATCGGGACCCTGGATGGAGCCCAGGGTTCCAGAGAGCCAGGGTCCGCTGCAGGCGCGGACTGTAATGAGGCGCGTGGGGTACTCAGCCCGGGCTTCGGCGGGCCAAGCACGCGGGCCACGTAGGATTCGGCCTGTGCATCAGGGTCAGGCTCCGGCTCTGGGCCCGAGTCATCGTCCGAGGCGCGGGTATCCTCGCACTGCCCTGGTGGAAGCTCCATGGCGACCGGGTGGGCGCGGCCCGTCAGTCTCGGTCAGCTGCCCGGCTCGCGTCCCGTCTCCTAGGCAGCACGAGGGTCCTTTCCGGCGCGGTCTGATGACGTCAGGAGCCCACCGGAAGCAAGGCCACAAGCTGGCCCCGGGCTCGACGGCGTCCCGCTGTTTGGCCGCGCTGACCCTGGGCTGGACAGGGCGAACTTCTGATTCCTGCGCTTTGCAGCACGCGCGCCTGTGATCCTGACGCAGGTGTTTTGCTTGGGAGGGTGCGCTTGCAGGAGCTGGGGCCGTTTCTCACTGGCCGGTAGTCTTCCTTCTGTGGCCAGGGCCGGCTCAGCCTCCGCGTGCGCGCGCCGCTGCGCCCGAGGGGATCAGGGTTGCTCCACGTTTTTAAATTAGTTGTACACATCTGCGAATTACTTTTGGTAGATTCATAGTGCACGTAACGCATCGGGACCGTTTTCACACGCACATCCTCCGGGATCTGGTGGCACAGGCCTGTAATTCCAGCCAGATCTCCGAGTTCGAGGCCTGCAAGATCTTTTGGGCCGGGAATTCAGCTCAGTGGTGCAGTGCCAGCCGGGCAAGTGCGAGCTGAGTTTGAGTCCCATAAAAAAAGAACAAAACCTTTGTCTTTAAAGGCCACTTTATTTTCAAACCTGACGAACTAGATACATCTGATTTATACTAGTCATAGTAACTATTAAGAGTAATAAACATCTGCCTTTTCTGTGCTTAAAAAAAAAAATGCTCTGCTGGGATTTATCCCTCCAGAACAGTTGAGCGGTACAGGGTCCCCTCTCACGTTCACCTCCCCATTTTACAAGGTAGGAAACACTCGAGGTCTCAAGGCTCATTTCCTCTGTCCTTCACTTACTTCCTGGCTGGAGTTCTGTGCATCCCATTTCTGAAGTTTCCAGGTGTGGTGTGTCCCTAACTTGGCCCCCTAAGCACAACCAAATCAAGGACACAGTAAACCAGAGACCAAGAGTTTCACAAGAAACTGATCTTTACTCAACAAAGTTCTACACAAGTGGAATCTCACGCCACCTCGGCGCCAATCCCCAGCACAGCACGATAACGAATGGACAGAGCCGGGAGCCCACAGGGGAAGAGGGTAAGCCGGGCTTGGAAAATGGGGAGGACTGCAGATCAAGGCCAGGCTGGTCCACAGCCCTGGGCAGGGAAGAAGGTTGAGAAGCTAAAACTTCGTTGTGCAAAAACCAACCAAAAATAAATTAAAAAATTAAATACCTTTCTTAAAAAAAAAAAAGGAAAGAAAACTAGAAGAACCAGACTCCCCTTCCCAGAGGTGGATGGAACCCTCAACTTGGGGAGAGGGTTACCAATACCATCAGATAGCCAATCCATGCACTCCTAGACCCAGAGGAAGATGCTTTAGAGAACTGTAATTACCAGAAAGCTAAATCATATTTTTAAAAAGTGTTTTAAAAATAAATGGCTTACAGAGACCTGCTCAAGTTTGGGGTGGGAGCAGGGACACAGCTGATTGTGGAATGTGCACTGGTGCCCCTTGCAAGAGGCAGGTCTGGCCTGGTTGAGATATCCAGGTCCTTGGAGTGGTGAATGGAGCAGGGTAAGGGACAGAAGACTCCAGTCAACCCCAGAACACAAGGGGTCCCCCAAAGAATAAAGAGTAGGAAAGGGGAAAAGAGAGGAAAAAAAAAAAAAAAAAAAACGTTAAGGGGGCTACAGGCCACGTCATCTGGCCACCTTGGAAAAAGCTATGCCCCCTCCTCTAGGGGAGTCCCCCACACCTGAACCACATCCCCACTGCATCCCAGAAGTGTCTCTGGAATCCTGGCCCAGTCTTGGTCTCTAGGCCATTGGGCACTGATGAGCAGGGTGTCCCAGAGGAACCGGAAGGGGACAGAGGTCGCTCCACCAGTGCCCTCTTCTCCAAGCCCTCATCTTACTTTCCTGCTGGCAAAGTGTAAGCCTGGGTCCTCTATCACCACGTGTTCAATGCCCCCGACCTTGAGGAAGGTCCCTGGGGCCTTGGAGAGCTTGTTCACCCAACACTGCTACCAGAGAGGAGGAGCAGGCACCAGCAGCTCGTGGCCTCACCCTGGAGCATGGGGGAGAGAGACAGGGTGACCTCTGGCCAGGCCTGCTGCTCCGGTGGTCCCCACTCTGCTGGTGGGGATGGGACAAGAACAGGGACACATCAGTTGGCTGGGGCCTCCATGGAGCTGACAGAAGTTTGCAGAGCAGGTCCAAAGCGTGCATGTGCTGACAAGGCGCCCCAAGGTGACCATCCTCCCCCCACCCCCCGCCCAGGTTCTGGTCCCAGTGGAGACCCCCAACCCCCAGCCCTCTCCCATCATCGCCAACTCCAGCAACACAGCAGAAGCTCCTTAGACTCTAGATGCAGGTTACACGGAAGGCCGCATGGCGTAACTCAGGGGCTCACTAATTCTACTGTCTCCATGCAGTCGGGGGAACGGCGGGGCAGTGCCCGCACATGCGTGTGGCCACGTGTGTGAACGTGAGAGTGTACGCATCTCTACAAGGACCCCCCTCCCGCCTGCCATCCCCGCCTCACCCGAGGCCGACTTGCTCGGCCGAGTGGATTCCTCCCTCCCTTGTGGCTGAGCCACATGGGCGCCTGAGATGCCCATCAGGGCTCCTGCCCCCCATGAAGTCCCACCCCCTCCCAGTGTGTAGGATGAGCACGGGGGCCCCGCCCATCTGCCCGAGCATCCACCGAACCAGCCCAGCGGGGCAGGCGGACAGACGGACGGACCGACAGGGAAGGCGTCTGGATTTGGGTCCCACTCACTCCTCCCTAACCCCCCTCGACCAGGGCACAGCGACTTCTGGACGCGGCGCGCTCCCAAGCAATCCCTCCAACGATGCAGACAGAAACCTGCGGGGAGAGGATGTGTCAGGGCCTGCACCAGGTCCTCAGCCCACACACTGGCCGGGCAGCCATGGCACACTCACCTGGCAGTCTCCTCATCCGCCTAGACCCCATAGAAGGCCGCCAGCCTCTCCTTGAGCAGGGGCGGGAATTGCTCTGAGAACTGCTGCCAGTTCTCTTCCCCCACTTGGTCTTTGAAGCCATGGAGGATCTGCAGGGAGACCAGTAGGGGGTAGCTGAGGCAGCATGGACAAGGTGATCATGCTGCCCACGGCTGTGATCTGTACCCTCTGGAGAACCAAGCAGGGCCCAGAGGAGCCTCACCTTATAAAACATGTCCCGAAGATCATCCTTCGGGCTCACCCAGGAGGCTACAGCATCGCAGAAGAAAATAAAGTCCTAAAATGTGACGGATCCCATGTGAGGGGCCGCCCGGACCAGTCCCCACCCTCCCCTCAGAGCCCAAGCTGCCCGACCTGCACGACACCCCCAGGGTTGACACCGATCATCATGCAGATGCCCCGGAAGGCCGAGTCCTTCTCCTCATTGTCCCTGATGTTCCTGAGGGACGTGCACCTACAGCGGAGGTGGGTGGCAGGTCAGGGGGCAAGGATATGCATCACCTGGTGGGGGAAAGGGGCAAGGGGCCCCTAGCCCACCCCGAGCAGGCCCAGGCCAGCACCCACCACGGTCGGATGAACTGCTGCAGCATGGGTGCCACCTCCTGTGGGCACACGTAGCCCAGGCGGCCAATGGTGATGGCTGGAATGGCAGAGGGACTCGTCAGGCGACCTGCAACCCCGAGCGGCCCCGGGACGGTACGTGGCGTGGCCTCTGGCACAAGGCATCGAGCCCCGTCCCATGGGCCCCAAGGGACCAGTCTCTGGGACCAGCCCAGCCAAGTCTGGCCGGGCCAGGACCTGCCCCCCAGCCTGGCTTTCTTCCTCATCTCTCTGAGGTCAGTTTTCTTCAAAGCTCCACCCAGAGGCCCCATCAAGGGCTTCAGGACACCCTCCCTGGCCAGCCCAGAGCCCCACTGACAAGAGGCGGGTGAGCTGACACCCACCTGTATTTTCCAGCAGTGTCTTGGGTGTGTTGGGCCGGTTAATGATCTCCACCAGGTTGTTGAGGACCATCTGCACATAGGGCTGCATCTCGGCCCCTGGGAACCCGCCAAGCAGATTGCTGCATTGCCTGCTGCACTCACAGTGGGCATGCAAGGGTACCGAACCCACTTCCTGACCCATGGCCACCCAAAGGCCACAGCCACTAAGGGAGTGCAGCACCTCTGGCTGCTTCCCAGCTGAAGCCATGGGCCAGACAGACAGACCCCCGGCCTTCCCAACACCAGTCTTCTCAAGAGTCCCAGGACAGACTGAGGAGACCACACTGCCCAGAAGTCCCCTCCCTTGGGAAAAGTAGCCCAAGTTGGCCAACCATCGTCCATTGTCCAATCCAAGCTGCCCTCTAGTCATACCTCTGGAAAAACCAATCACAGATGGTCTCTCAGCCCTTGACTCTGCCCCCAGGAAAACCCTCCACTGCGTTCCCTTGGCCTTAGTCAACTGTGAGTCTGTCAGTTAGAGCTGGGCCTCCACACCCGTGCTAGGACAAGACTCACCCATCTGCATGCAGATCTCCCCGATGGCCCATGTGGCATTGTTGCAGACAGAGATGAACTCGGGGTTCAGGTTGGTACCCAGGATGGGCATGAACTCAGCTGGTGGGGAAGGAGAGGGGTAAGCAGGAAGGCCAGCGTGGATGAGCTCCTGCAACTGGCCAGCAGGCAGTACGGACACATCCCAGTTGGTCATGGTCCTCTCTGGGTGGGCACATCTTACCACACAAGGCTGGGGATGGGACAGGGGCTCACCAATGCAGGGCTTGACGTGGATGAAGCAGGCTTTGGTGAGGTCCCCCAGGAGGGCGAAAGAGCTCTGCCGGACCTCAGGCATCGAATCCTAGGGGGTGGAGACGGGTCAGTGTATACCTCCTGGCCCTGAGGGTGGAGGCTCCAGCCACCTGTCCCCTACTGGGACCCAGCTCTAGGGACACAGCTGCAGAGACACATCACTGCCGCCAACTGCATCCACAGCTACCTGTGCGTCTGCAGGTTCATCCAACCAACCAGGGATGGAAAATGCTCAGAAAGAAACCAAAAGGACCAGGGCTGTTGGCCAGCAGCAGTGTGGTCCAGCACTGCATAAGAAGCCCTGCGGCTGTCCTGCTCACATGCAGCCTCTCTCTGATCATCACCCTCTGAAGAGTAGCACATACCTGACTATTTACATAGCAGCTACATTACCATGAATCACCGAGACAGAGACAGCTATACGAGGAGGACAGCAGATGCCTTCACATTTCTATTTTTGTTTTGTTTTTGAAACAGGGTCTTGCTATACAGTTCAGCTTAGCCTTAAACTGTGTAGTACAGGCTGGCCTCAACCAGCAATCCTCCTGCCTCAGCCTTCCCAGTGCTAGGATGACAGGAGAGAACCAACACAATCAGCCTCACATTTTCTATTTTTGATTTTCAACATTGTTTGCTTCTTTTTCTTCACGCTGTTCATGCTGGAACCAGGAATGGGATCCATGGCCTCACTTGTGCAAAGCTAAAGACTACTGTCAAGCTCTACCGCTAGCCCTGTTTGCTTTGTTACTCTTCGAAAGTAGATGAACTTGTGGAATGGGCTGGGCAGCCTATCAGACAATGTGGCAGCCTATCCCAATGTGGTCATGGGCCTCCCAGGGTTGTGTCTTCATCGTTTGGGGGCAAGGCTGAGGTCCTACAGCCAAAGGACACTACCACTGAGCTACATCTACTATCCTGCCCATGAACTTGAGATCATCCTGCCTCAGCCTCAAGGAGCTCAGGTTACAGGTGAACATCTTATCAAGTTGTGTTTGCTTTCGTTAATGAGATTTTATTTGCCTTACTTGAAACACATTTCTGGGGTCTGGGGATTAAACTCAGGGCCTTCATTCCCACTGAAGATCATTCCCGACCCTTTAAAAGAGTTCCTTATTCTTGCTAAGTTGCCCAGGCGGGGCTCAAGTATCTTGCCTCAGCCTCCCAGAGTCCTAGGATGATGGGGGTGTACCACCACACCTGGCTCTGAATCACTTTTTAAACACTCAGAAGCTTTTCTTTTCAGGCTTCCTTTCCCCTGATGTCTGTCAGGCACAAGCAGAAACCTAGCACCTCCCATAAGCTGCTGGGTGTGGTCACTGTGCCCGTTTCACTACCAGTCCTCGGAAAAGGCCAGAGAAGGTCCTGATCTGCACAGGGCACCTACCCACCTGCATGCACTGGAAAAGCAATGTCATGATGTTACTTCGGGCCACCAGCTGCTCCACATGGCCACCCAGGCCCTCAGCCAAGCCACTGAGCAGGTCCAATGCCACAATCATGAAGTCCTTGTCGGGGGCCTCATACTGCTCGGGGTGCTGGGTGTACATCTGGGTACAGGAGGGCGGGAGCAGAGTGAGGAGTGCGCAAGCCAGAGCTGAGCAGCAGCAGAGTGGGTAGGTGCTATCAGGTGCTCACCATGGCTTGAGCCAGTGTCTTCTGCACCAGGGTGACACAGCGCTGGTAGACAGGCTCACAGTAGGGCAGGAAGCCACTCTGCAGGGCGGTGGCCACTGACGACAGGCACTGAGGAGAGGGAGCACCAAGGTGATACCAGGCAGGGCCTGGGGGTGATGGGAAGGGACCTGAAGGTACTCACCTCCAGCAGGGGAAAGAGATCCTTATCTTCATCCTTGAGCTCATTCCACTTCTGGATAAGTGGGGGCATCAGCTTCTGGATGTACTCCTGGGAGAGAGGCAGGAAGTAGGGCTCCATGGGTGGAGGACAATGCTCCTCTGCCTGTCCACATCGGTGCCTCCCAACTCCTTGGCACAGGGCATACCCCAGTGTCTCAGAACTACCTCCCTTCTAGACTGGGAGCAGGGTAGGGCGGGTCCAAAGGGGCCATCTGTCCAGATCTCAGCCACACCGATGGCCAGGCACATATGTGACTTGGGACTGTCACTGGGGAAGAGGGACCACTCTGAGGTCTCACCGGCTGGTTGAGGTGGTGGCCCACAGAGTCTGCCAGGGTGCCAATGGCATCATAGAGGATGAGCAGGTTCTTATGCTGGTACTTGCCAAAGGCAAAGACGAGGGTGTCCAGGATATAGCTGAGGTAGGGCACCAGCTCCGTGCAGGCCTCCTCCTCCAGGGTGGCAAAGGCACTGGGGGGAGGATGAGGCAGAGGGCTCAGTGGACCCAGCAGCAGCACCAGCCACAGGCAGGTGGGAAGGAAGGTGCCCATGGGATCAGCCAGTACGAATACAAGAGAAATCAGGGCATGTCAGCAGTCACATAAGTATGTCATCACTTCCCAGGGGCCAGTGGGGCATTCAGAGTAAGTGTGGGTTCAGGAGGTCAAGGGTCACCTGCAGGCTGCTTCCTGCACCCTCTTGTTGCCATCCAGGATGCGCTTGAGCAGCTCCGTCATCAGGGGCTTAAGGTGCATGTCGGGCGGCTGGCTGACCACCCAGTGGGCATAGCGGCTCAGAGTCCAGCAGGCGATAGAGCGGACCAGAGCCTTCTTGTCCGACAGGCACTGGATAAGATGTGGGATCAGCTCGGGCAGGTAGGGCACCATGCCCTGCATGCAGCCTAAAAACCAGAGAAAAAAGGGCCCTGGGATAAGACCAAGGCATGGTGTCCTCACAGAAAGGTGTGGGGAAACAGGCACAGTCACTTCGAGTAATTGATGAGAGGCAAAGACAGGCAGGAGGAAAACACGAGCTGCATCTCATCTGGTGCTGCTCTTTTCTGGCTACTTACTGGTTCTCAGATGCAGGAGTAGCACAGCAGCCCAGCTGGGTTGGAAGCACCAAAGCACTTCTCATTTGACACCCTTAGACGCGTGTTTCTTTAACTGTTTTTGAAGTCCTGGGATGGAACCCAGAGGCAACACTCCACTATTAACATACATTTCTAGCCCTCTTTTTTTATTTTTCTAGTTTCAAGACAGGTGCTTGCTAACTTATCCAGGCTGGCCTTGAACTACCATCTCCTGAGTAGCTGAGGCTTTTTGTCTCTAGTGCAGGGGGATGCAACCCAGCATCTTGAGCACACTAAGCCAATGTCCCACCACCAACTCACACCATGTCCTACTCTTCCGATGTGGTCCTGGGATCAGCCATTGGGATACACTGCCACTGAGCTACAAGCCAGTCCCTTCCGTTACTTTTTTAGACAGGGTTCCTCTAAATTCACCAGGATGGACTCCAACTTGTGAACCTCCTGCCAGAGTGCTGGGGTTACAGGTATACGTAACTGAGCCTAGTTTCTTTTTGTTAGAATCAAGCATCTCTCTCTTTTTTTGGTGGTGGTGGTTGGGCTGTTAAGACAAGGTGGAAACCAGGCATGGTGGCGCACACCTGTAATCCCAGCACTCAGCAGGCTGGGGCAGGAGGATTGCAGCGAGTTCGAGACCAGACTGGGTTACAAAGTGGGCTCAAGGCCCACCTGAACTGCATATCGAGACTTGTCTTAAAGACAAGGTGGAAGAGGATGAGCAGGCTTTTGTATTGTACCTACTGAAGGCAAAGACAAGGGTGTCCAGGATGCAGCTGAGGTAGGGCGCTAGTTCCAGGCACTATGTGTTCAAGCTAGCCTTGCTCCCATCTCTGCAATACTCAGACTGTAGTCTACTTCTACCAGGCTGCAGTCAGTTTCTCTAGACCTTTCCCTGTCACTACAAACTGCACACAGACTACCCTTAATAGATGCACACATGTTGCCCAAGATAAGACACGCTCCTCACACAGGACACACATTACACCCAGAAACCTTTCCCTTGAGGTTTTTTGTTTGTTTGTTTAACATGTTAGGGATTGAATCCAGGGCCTCTGCACTGAGCTACATCCCTAGTCCTTTTTGCTCTGACGCCAGGTCTCACTAAGTCACGAGTTAACCGGGTTCAAACTTGCAATTCTCTTGCCACAGCCTCCCAAGAGTGCTGGGATTACACGAAGCATACACATTTTTTTTTTCTTTTTCTTTGCAGTGCGGGAATAGAACCTAGGTACTTGCATATGCCATGCAAACACTCCACTGAGCCACATCTCCAGCCCTCCTAAAAACTAAGCCATCTAGAAGAAATACAAACAGCAAATAAAGTGAAAAAAATACTAAACATTGCAGGTCATTCAAGATGCAAATTTAAAAAGCGCAGATTTCACTTCATCCCAGGAAGAATGGCCATTATCAAGAAATCAACCAATAATAAATGCTGGAAGGGCTGTGGGGAAACAGGAACCCTTCTCCATTGTTGGTGGGAATGCAGACTGGTGCAACCACTGTGGAAATCAGTGTGGAGATTCCTCAAAAACTACAACTAGATAGAGTCCCATTCGACCCAGCTATTCCTTCTATATATCTTCCCAAAAGAATGAAAAACATCATACCACAGTGATATATGTGCACCCATGTTTATAGCAGCACAATTTGTAATAGCTAGACTTGGAAACAACCTAAATGCCCATTATCTAAGGAATGGATAAAAAAGATGTGGTAGGGCCAGGGATTTGTCTCAGTGGCATAAGTGCCTGCCTGGCAAGTGCTAGGTCTTGAGTCAATCCCTGGTACAAAAAAAAAAGACATTTTTATACAATGGAGTACTCCTTAGTCATAGATAAGCTAGAGACTTATAGGTGAATAGATGCAACTTGAGAACATACTCATTCGTGAAGATACACGTGCAAACACTGTGTTGTCTTACTAGTGTGACAAGCTGAAAGAACTATGTATACACACACAGACACACACACATACATGTATATAAAAAAGATTACTGATTTCTTGGAGTTCACCAAAGAGAAAGATTTGTGCCAGTATAGTTCAGATAACTGAATGCAGATGTCTTGCACTCTGGGGAAATGATTTGGGGGTGACAATGTGCAACATATGCGCCACTGCTACCCTGATGGATGTGTTTTGAAATTTTGTTTTGTTTTCTCTTTGTTATTAAAATAGATTTGAAAAAACAAAACAACTAAGCCATCCAGCTCTGGGATTCTGCTGCTGTTCTGGGTTCTGACGCAGTCACACATGACCGCATGTGCAGCAAAGGCCACAGCCCTGCCCTAAGCCATGCTTTATGTGCCCCTGGGAAAAGGAGCTGAAAAACCCCACCAGCAACACAGTGGGCTGCATCAATCTGCGCAAACGCCTTTGCTGGCCACTTCTCCTTCAGCAGGAATGCTCGAGGCCCAGCAGTGCCCTGGGGACTGCAGCAAAGAGACGCTGACTCTGGGACCTGCTGTCTGAGACCCTGGGGGTCTGGAGTAATGTGCAGGTAGTGGCAAGCACCAGGTGTATGACAGCTGCAGAGCCCTCCGGCCTGCCGAGCTGGACCTGCCTGGGAGAACCAAGCCAAAGGCCTCCATGCTGGGGTTTGGGGTTCCTTTCAGGAATACAGGCCAAGGGGAGGACCAAGAATCTAGAGTTCTCCAGGCAGGGTGGCACACACCTTTAACCCCAGCACTCAGGAGGCTGAAGCAAGAAGATCCTCACAAGTTCAAGGCCAGCCTGAACTGCATAGTGAGACTCTGTTTCAAACAAACAAAACAAGCAAACAAAAAAAGAACCAGGAGTTCTCAGAAAGGGACAATAAGGCCTCCACCCAGCACTGCCAGGCCAGTTCCAAGACTCGCATTAAAATGCAGGGCAGCGGCAGGCAGCTCGGGGTGCAGGCAGGCAGGCAGGCAGGACTCACCCTCGGCGATGGCCCCCAGCACCAGGATGCCAGACTCCTTGACCACCCACTCAGGGTGGAACAGAAGGCCCTTGAGGAGGGGCAGGAGGTGGGGCAGCAGTTCCTCCCGGAACACATTGGCGAGGACATCTAGTGCAGCTGCAGAGCATTTCCCTGCAGGGCACAGAGGCAGGCAGACTCAGCCAGGACGTCCCCCCTGCCAAGGAGGCAAGCCACCCTGCGTCCCCAGAGTGAGCCACGCACTCAGGTTCCAGTCAGACAGTGCGTCGTCATCATCATCATCCTCTGTGTCCTCAGAGCCATCGGGTCGCTCAGCCTCGTGGGGCAGCGTCACCGTGCGTGATTTATGGAAGCGTGGCTTGATGTCTTGCTCACTGTCAGGCACCGCCTCATCCTCCTCCACATCCCCCTGGGGCAAGCAAAGGGCTCAGCACACTGGAGACCTCAGCCCAGCACAGCCCCGGCCTCACCACCTGTGCCTGACCTTGAGCAGGATGATGTCAATCTCGGAGTACTTCATGCCGTTCACGAGGATGGGGATCAACCTGCAGGAGAGAGGCTGCTCAAGGAATCGGGCGGGGAGGAGCTCGGGCAGCGGCCCTGGCAGGGCTCAGGCTGTGCACTCCCACGTGGACCAGCCTACGTCTAGCCATCGTAATGAGATGACATCATTCCTGGCACCACAAAAGAGCTCCTGACCCAGACCTGGCCACCCAGTACCTCCCAAAGCTCAGAATACACTGGAAACCTTGCAGCAGCACCTGGTCCCCAGCACAGCACAAGGCAACATGGCTGCGACGGGATGAGCCAGCCAGGCTGGGACACAAGCAGGTGTGCGCCTGGACCCTCAGCAGAGCCCGTGGACCTCACAGTTGCAGAGTCCTGACAGAACTCCCTGTCTGCATGAAACAACCCCACTGTCTACTCTGGTCTCAGCCTTTGCCCCAGCCCCCCACCCATTATCCTAATAAGCTGGGCATGAGACTGTGACTGTGATGCCAGAATTTGAAAGGCTGAGGCAGGAGGATTACAAGTTTGAGCCCAGTCTGGGTAACTTAAGTGAAACTGTGTCTCAAAATAAAAAATAAAAAAGGGAAGGGATGAGTTCAATCCCTGATACCAAAAAAAAAATTTTTAATAAAAAATAAAAAAAGAACTGGGGGTATAAGCCCTGAGTTCCATCCCTAGTATTGGGGAGGGGAAAAAAAAAAAAACATTCAGGGATAAGTAGCTCAAATTGGTCACAAAGGGCTGAATCTAGGCCTTTTGTTAAAGACTCTTAGGAAGAGAAACTTCTTTATCTGAGCTCCCTAAAGTAGGAGGACAAGAAGGACCACAGTCCTGTCCAAGAAAACGATGCCTGATATAACACAAAGCCCAGAGCACAGGAAACAGGTTTGAGGCTAGACAGATGCCTTTCACAGTCGGAGCACCGGGATCCAGCCTTGCCTGGAGTCTCATCAATTCCCTCATTTTTTTCAAGTCAAAACACACATGGAGGATGTGGACTGAGGCAGTCCCATCAGGCAAGCGGGAGGGAAGACACAGGCACAGCAGGGGTGGAAACAGGCAGGAAGGGGCAAAGCGACACTCACTGGACCAGGTGGGAGGCC